CGCGCCGAACGTGGCTTCTCTCTCTCTTTCAAAAAGTCCAATGCAGTCGCAGTAAAGAACCATTTTACTGAGGCTTTATTTCATCCCATCACAGCTGATTAAGAGTCTCAAATACACCAATTTCATCTCATTTCGCTACATATCGTTTTTCCAATAACAGAATATGTATGTATTTCATAATTGAAGATTTTTATAAACTCTACACTGGCAACAATGACATCGCAAGAAATCAATTGCCATACTTAAAAATGAAGAAAATGGTTTTTTTTTCGTCTATTATATACATAGCTGGTCTTCAATATTCGGATCAGAATGATAAGATTCCAAATTCAGATATATAATATATAATAGGTTGGGGGAAAAGTCTTAAAACCCTTAAAACCATTTTGACTTTGTCGGGTACAACTAATAAACAATCGTATGAATTGCTTATTATTATGTTTGCGTGTACGATAGTTTCCGTCCACAGATACCGCAATAAAGGGTATTGAAATGCTTTTTTAATTACTTAAGAGGCACACGGTAGCAATCACATTAGCATCAACAATACATAAATTTTAACGACTTTATATTTTATTTATGGCCGCCTTATATCGCTTCGTTAAGCTTTATTTCCGCTTGTAGTTTTGTGGAGCTTTCATGAAATAATCGAGTTGGTTTTTGGCTTTTAATCTAACTGTAGGTATATTTAACGAACGGAAAGTACATTTAATGAAAACCGCGAAACTAATTCCGAAAATTTTTGATGTTCAATTTTGAGTTTATGAATATCTCTAATACAGATAATTCGCTTTTAAAACAGACAGAAATTGAACTCTTAACCGACTTCGAAAAGGAGGTTCACAATTAGATTCTATTTTATTAGAACTTTCCTCTAGGTGAAGCGATTTTGAGGATTCTTTTTTTTAGTTGAAAGCTGTATTTCTCATGTGGTCAGGTTTAAATATCACGTGGATAGGCAGCGGCTTCAGCAATGCCCTGGCATTGCTGAAGTCCGTGGGCGACGGTAACCACTCACTATCAGGTGGGCCGTATACTCGTCTGCCTACAAGGGTAATAAAAAAAAAAGAAAAAATTACGAACTGTAGAGTCCAATCGTTTTTGAGTTATCCTTAATTCAAATATTATGCATATTTACATTGACTACATTGATGAAATGCTCATTTTATTTTGTTGGAACTCGGCTTGCTTGGTGCTTACCTGTAGAGACTAGAGCTCGGAGTGAAAGCATTTGAATACAATGTCGAAATCGTCAATACCGAATACTTTTTATTTACGAAAAATACATTTAGGCAATACTTTTTTGTTTTTCTGTTAAAATCTGTTTGGTAAAATTGGGTAACATTTAAAAAGCAACTACATCATTGTCCGGGGAGGAAAGAGAGGTAATACATATGGTACAAGCTAAATTGCTCGCTTCCTCGATACTACTAGATCCTGGTCTCGTGTTATTAAAGCTAATTCCCTAAGCATCTGTAGCAGTATTCTTATTTCCTTATTTAAGCATCCCACAAGGGTAGTAGGTCGGTAAGTGGTAGGTTACTGGTGGCAGGACGTCTTGTGAGGCCGCACGAGTAGCTGCCACCGCCTTGCCTATTTCTACCGTGAAGCAGTAATGCGTTTCGGTTTGAAGGTTGGGGCAGCCGTTTTACTCAAGATGGGTGGCGGCATCTACGCCTTAAATGTCTATGGGCTCAGGCAACCACTTAACACCAGGTGGGCCATGAGCTCGTACCCCATCAAAGCAATAATAATAAAAAACATTGATTCCTAGCTTGCTCACTACCCACCACTACAATAGTGAGCGCGTAATATATATATTTTTTTAACCAAACAGGGGCCGCGGACGAGAGAAAAATGTAGACCTAAGAAGAAATGGATGGATTGCGTAAAAGACGACATGTGTAAGAAGGGAGTGAGCGAAGAAATGGTATATGATAGAGGAGTATGGAAGGAGAAATGCGCCGACCCCAGGTGACTGGGAGAAGGGCAGGAGAATGACGATAGCGGCCGCGGTCTTCTAATGTAATTCCTTACGACGACAATAAATAAAATCGCTTTGAAAACACGATTCCTGAACGAAATAATTTTGACACTTTGGTTTTTATTACCAGTACACTAATCTATGAAGTTTTATATTAATAATAATTGTCTATAAATTTATATAAATAATAATAAAACTTCTCGGGATCCCCCAAAATGTCCACTAAAAATATCTCAGTAAATGACCACCATTTTACTGAGAGATAATTTCATCCCATATCATCTCATTTCATTTCGTTTCATGCCATGTTTCATATTAATCAACTTCATTTTATTTCAAAATATCATTTTAATATAAAAAAAAAGTTTTAATAAAACTTGATCTATAAAGGTCTTAGTTACCAGGTCATAAAATTCCTTAAAAAAAATTGTCCTGACGTCATTTATTTCAAATATTTTGTGGTACATATTCCACTTATGGTATTGCACAACATTTATTTGCAAGCCTATAAAGTTAGAAGCGAAAATCATGGCCGTTGTCGATTCACTAATTAAATCAACTGAGTCACGTACCGGTGACCTAATCACATCAATTGCTTCATTGGCTCCATTAATGAACATTCTTAGCGTGCGGCAAATTATTATTATTATTTTTAATGGCATATTTTTGTCTACTTTACACGGTAATTTAGGATCATCATAAATTACTTAAACGTAATTTAAAAGCAAGTCTATTCTAAAACAAAAACTCTGCATGGATGTAAGTACACGGTAGAGGTATTGATAATGCATTATGAACAATGAAGACTAAAGTAAAACATTTATATTTGTTATCAACGAGAAATCGTTTCCCGTTTTGACACTATCGAACTTTGAGGTCGTTGATGGAGTGGCGATTCAAAACTTGTTTAACTACCAGTTCCTAGTTTATCGTGTTGAGGAGAGGTAAAATAATTATTTAAGGTTTTTTTTTTATTGCTTAGATGAGTGGACGAGGTCACAGCTCACCTGGTGTTAAGTGGTTACTGGAGCCCATAGACATCCACAACGTAAATGCGCCACCTACCTTGAGATATAAGTTCTAACCGAAACGAATTACTGCTTCACGGCAGAAATAGGCAGGGTGGTGTTACCTATCCGCACGGACTCACAAGAGGTCCTACCACCATATAAAATTTTATAAATTTATTTAAAAGGTGGAATGAGCTCGCCGTCTTCCTGGTTTTAAGAGGGCACAGGGACAGACGAATTCACGGATCCAAGAATTTATAGTTCATATTTACTATTATACACCCTTGATTTCGTTTTAGGCATAAAAAATCACAACACAAATAAAAATATTAATTTTATTTTATTTTATTTATTTATTTTCCACGCCTTCCTTTTCCACACAACGTCTAGCCGCCGGCAATTCTATCCTATTTATTAGCTTTTAAGTAATTAAAATAGCCTCGAACTTTTAGCCCGGCATATATGTAAAGCGTTTTGTTCATTGTATAATCTCTAACATGAACGCTTTGAATATCTGATTCCTGACGGCAAAGTTAGTCGACAAGCCACTTCTCTTCTTTTAAAAACTCCCATACACAGCTCTAGTCGCTATAGTGGCTCTTTCACAATACAAGCAGTGCGATTATGGAATTCTCTCCCTCAACCTATTCGTGCTAGTTCCTCTCTAGAAGTTTTTAAGAGTCAAATGAAGAAACATNGACGCCTTCAGCTCTAACATTAGGAGCAGACTCGGTAACCCGCTGAGTTTCTCGGTGGATCTTCTCAGCGGGTCACGATTCCGATCCGGTGGTAGATTCATTCGCGAAGCAGCTGCCCCTGAGTTGTTAGGTCTCCTTTGGAGGCGCTCGGGTAGCTGTTCGCAAATCCCACACCTCCTGGCTGAGCCTTTGCTCGCCCACCTGTCGTGGTGAAATTGGAGAGGCATCCAGGCCACCAGTAATCCCTCATTTATAAAAAAAAAACTATATCGTGATGTAGCACCATTAATGATAAAATGGCTGAATTCGGATACTTAGATAAAGTTTCTCAGACCTTGATAGTTCAGCAGGCTACAAATAATAACGATATAATACTCGTACTGCGAAATTGGTCATTTTAACACAAATTGAACGTCTTCACTTTATTGTCTCCATTAGGACGTTCCACAATTATAACCTTTCAACTTTCTGATTCATTCTTTAGATTGCATTCGGGAATCTGACAGTAATTTTATATAAGTAACTGATAAATGATGACGACATTCAACAAGAAGTATTATTCTGTATACACAGTCACGTCTCTTATTGAAGTGTGGTCACTAAGGATTTTGTTGTTTGGTTCGTTTATACTATATATTGAACAGGTTCTTACGGAACCAGCAGATCCATTAACCCTTGCATTAGACGCCTTCAGCTCTAACATTAGGAGCAGACTCGGTAACCCGCTGAGTTTCTCGGTGGATCTTCTCGAGTCTTCTTTGCGAGTTAAGCTCGCCTTTGTACATAGTATTTAGACATTCTTTAAATCTGTTTTTATTGTATTTTCTTTTTGTGTACAATAAGTATAAAATAAAATAATAAATAAAATAACATCTCAAATACTTTTACTACTTTACGAAATTTATTGTAAAATACATTGTCACGGTTGAAGAGTTCTCTTGTTTACCTACCTATTCTCTGGNCTAGTTCAGCGGCTCGCCTCCTCGTCTCGCCATGCCCGGGATCGTCCAAATCGGTAAGGTCCTCCGGATAAAACGTTTCAGCCAAGTACGTGGCTGAACTATCCGCGTCCAGCACTATCCCTTCCCGCTCCATGGGTATGTCTTCCTCCCGTCTCGAAACCCTGCCTATCACCCGATAAATCCCCTCCCACATGCCTTCGCGGTCCTGCCTCTCGCAGAACCCCTTCCAGCTTGCGATCTGGGCCTCTTTTATCGCAGCCCGGTATTTTGCCCGTTCCTCCAGGTACTCTTGCACCACCAAAACACGGCAGTTAACCTTTTAAAGATCACGACTAATATTGTATTTCAGAATCTGAGTAGCCGGTGCGTGGGTCGGCTGGTGGTGTATGCGGAGGTGATGTCGTCCACGATGCGCGTGACGTCACAGCCGCTCGCGCACGGCGCGGGGGCGGTGGCGGGGAGGCAGGCCGCCGCGCGGGGCAGGGGAAGGAACACCTGGCTGTCACCGCTCGGACAGGCCTCCATATCCGTGCAGGTAACATCTACCCAACTCTCCCAATTAGGAATTCGTTTAGTGCCTTTTTGAGGGTCGAAAGATCCGGCATCACATCAAGTAGACCGTGAGTTCACCTACCCTTTAAGGCTTCGTCAAACAGAACGCGTAACTGACGGCGCGCTATGACGCCGAGATGTGTTGTACTACTATGTTAATATACTGTCAAACAGAGCGCCGGCGCTAGAAGTACGCAACGCTCTGTCGCGGCGTTACGGCGCTTTGACGTTAGGCGTTGTAATTTTTTACAAATTTCATTTTAGCGTCCGAGTGAATCTGTATTCAAATACTGGATAATCCCCGAAAAATTGATAGAATTAGTTAGAAAATACTCACACTTATACAATGCCACATCTGAATCACTCGACATCTTAATACTTTTAAATTTTCACACTGCTATCGAAAGGCACTATGATTTGGCGAATGCGTTGGGTCAAGGAGCGTTGGGCTCATCTAGTCAAATTATGTGACATGAAAAGAGCGCGACGTTAAAACCCAGCGCTAAGTACGCGTTATGTTTGACGAAGCCTTTAACACGATTACTGCGTTATGCGGTTTGAAAAGCCCCATGAGCGACTATCNTAATACTTTTAAATTTTCACACTGCTATCGAAAGGCACTATGATTTGGCGAATGCGTTGGGTCAAGGAGCGTTGGGCTCATCTAGTCAAATTATGTGACATGAAAAGAGCGCGACGTTAAAACCCAGCGCTAAGTACGCGTTATGTTTGACGAAGCCTTTAACACGATTACTGCGTTATGCGGTTTGAAAAGCCCCATGAGCGACTATCACCTCCTATGCCATGCTATGCTATGGGTGTATTCATAAACGCAGGATTCGTTCACAGTCGAAGCGGTATATTATAAACCTCCTTTTATAAGTACATGAGTCGTCATTATTCATCAGTATCCTGCCCTTCTCCCAGTCACCTGGGGTCGGCGCAACATGTTTTCTCCTTCCATACTCGTCTATCATATATAATTTCTTCGCTCACTCCCGTCTTACACATATCATCTTGCACGCAATCCGTTATTTTTTTCGTAGGTCTACCTTTGCCTCTAAAGCAGTGGTTCCCAAACTTTTCTTTGTCTACTGTCCTCTTTGAGAATAAATTATTTTTTAACGTCCCCATTTTTTCACCTACTTCAAAAACCACTATAGCGAGAACTCCGACGGTGTCTCAGAGTCCTCCTAGATGAAATTACAAATCGCCTCCCAAGCCTATACACAACACCTCCTTTTTTTTGGGTCTCTTACCGCCCCCCTTTAGGCCTGCAGCGCCCACAAGGGGGCGTTATCATCCACTTTGGGAAAGGCTGTTCTAAAGCCTTCTGTGTTCATAGTTAAAACGCTCTTACCAACCTCATTGTCATTGCGTCTCATCACATGTCCATACCATCCCAAACGCATTCCGTACATGAGTACATGAGTGATTTTGAAATTATCCATATCTACACTACATATTAATTTTCATGGCTTTGCTGAATTTAATTTCATTGAATAATAATTTAATTCGACTATAGATATGGCACAAGATGTCTCCATCGACGCCGCTGGTACAGCACGCGGCCGCCCTCGCAGCGGTACAAGCCATACGATGCCAACCGAACTACGAAAACTTAGACATTAGGTATTTATTATCTTAGATTCAATCCCTATAATTTCGAACTACCCTCAAATATAATACACGAAAACAAAAACAATAAATCGAATCGCGTTCAAATAAAGGGTTTCTAAATACAAATGTTTTACGTTCTAGCTGGTTGATCGATGTGGCCACAAAAAGTTTATCATGTTAAAACGAATTATAATCCTAATTGTTTTTAATTCAATATCTTTCTAGAATAAAATGGCCTAATGACATCTACTACGGCCGGGATGTCAAAATAGGCGGCACCATCACCACAGCGAACTGCATGGGCGATGACGTCATCCTCAACATAGGTATCTATATTATATTAAATTCAAGAATTCGTAAAGGACAAAGAACTTGAATTTTTTTTTATTGCCCTTGTAGACAGACGAGCATACGGCCCACCTGATGGTGAGTGGTTACCGTAGCCCATGGACTTCAGCAGTGCCAGGGGCAGAGCCAAGCCGCTGCCTACCGCTATAATCGCCATCCATTAAAGACTCTGGGACACACGGATTATAACTGTATGTCATGTATGAAACAAATAATTTGCAATAAACAAATATTGTAATCATATTAAATTGAGTTAAAACTTATCCTATCTCTCAAGTCAGACCGGACTACACACAGTGTGCGAAGTTTCATTAAAATATATGAATTAACTCAAAAGTTCATCGCGGACAAACATTGTGACACGATAAAAAAAAATTATAAACAACGTGAATAATCTTGAATATACATTCGTGATTCCCCAGGAACCGGTGTGAACATATCAAATAAGGTGCCGACGACGTGCGTCAACGACATCATCGAGGAGTACAACGAGGCGCACGGCGCGGCCCTGGCTCCCATGTCCATAGAGAAGTTCCTGGCCCGCTACTGCACCCAGCTGGAGCGGACCTTGGACCAGCTGGCGGCCGATGCGGGCATCGAGGCCTTCTTGCAGCTGTACTACGAATATTGGCTTCACACGTGAGTTGCTTAACGTTTTGATGTCTCTGTTTTTTGTTGCTTAGGTGGGTGGTCCGTGCCACCTGGTGTTGAGCGGTTTACCGGAGCCTATAAATATTTACAAAGTAAATACCGCCACCTGTCTTGAGGTATAAGTTCTAAGGTCTCAGTATAGTTACAACGGCTGCCCTATCCTTCACACCGAAACGCATTACTGCTTCACGGCAGAAATAGGCAGGGTGGTGGTACTTACCCGTGCGCAGTCACAAGAGGCCCTACTACCAGTAAATTATGATTATTATATTGTGAAATACAATTGCAAAAATGTTCTCAAATCCCGAGTGTAGGCGGCTACATTCACGTGATTTTCAATTTTGTAATAAACTATTTAAAAAAAACCGAATAGCTTATAAGAGAATATTAAATTAAACAATGAGACGTTTAAATTTAGAATTAGGTTTTCGAATATTGAATTTAAAATGTTCTATTCGATTTTTTTACAGCGGGGAAGAGATCCGCGTGCATACCGACGACGGCTCAAGCCCTGTCGTGGGCACCGTCATTGGTGTGGACGAGGCGGGCTGGCTGCTGGTCAACACCGCGGCCGGCGAGACCAAGCTCGCCCCCGACGGGAACACGTTTGACATGATGAGCGGCTTGATAGCTCCTAGACTATAATTGCAACAATGCTGCCATCTAGGAACCGAGAGAAACACTATAAATTAGGACTGGAGTTTTAGTGAGGAAACTACTTTCCGAAATACGAATAGAAAGACATAATGCGTAATTTAGTGTTGTGCAATTTTGGGGTCAGTCGACGAATTGTATGTATTTAATATTTATTGATATTGATAATTGCATTTATATTTAGATTGTTTTCTTATCTATAGATGTAACAGTCTTGTTTCTAGTCGGNAGAGAAACACTATAAATTAGGACTGGAGTTTTAGTGAGGAAACTACTTTCCGAAATACGAATAGAAAGACATAATGCGTAATTTAGTGTTGTGCAATTTTGGGGTCAGTCGACGAATTGTATGTATTTAATATTTATTGATATTGATAATTGCATTTATATTTAGATTGTTTTCTTATCTATAGATGTAACAGTCTTGTTTCTAGTCGGCGAAACTGTTGATGCTATGCAGCATTGAATCAATAACTACTACCTTATTCATTTACACGCATTTTCTGTATGTTTTCGCGTATATTAATACATACACGCTTATGACGTCTATGAAAAATTTATATTTTGTGTTTAGTTATCGTATGCTTCACCGAACAAATATATGGAGAATTTTAATCGACTTGATAATTCATTCACAAAATTTAACTGAATCAAACATAATTTGTTTCCTTAATCATGGTTTACTACTAATCGGGTGTATTTTTCGAAATTACATTAAAACTTGACGAAAATTATCCACATAAGTCTCAACAAGTTGTTTGATGTTCGATATTTATTAGAAAAAAAAAAATAGAAAGTATATTGTTTAGAATCTAGATAAGACGTAAATAAGGCCGGCCACACTTTACGAGTTACTAGAATACTGCGTTATTAGCCATATTATGTAATAAATAGATCAACATATAAACTTTACAAGTGCTAATGATAAAATCATAGAAATAGATAAAATCGTAGAACGCAAAGAGTAGAAAAAAATGTTCCATAGGGTTAAATAATATTTATTAATAAGTATAATTCACAATGATTCACATTGAATAACAGATCTTTTAGTTTTTATATAATAATAATAATTTCAGGTAACCATAGAAATGATTAATTTTAATACTGAAAGAAAAAATTGGATTCTACTATATTTAAGCATCATTGATAATGCGAAACATTAGTATCCAAATAATTACAAATGGAAGAAATCTTTAAAATGCATTTTAGTTCCTATTTATATATTATGTGCTTGTGTTAACATTTGAGAAGCACAGTTGTTAATGTGAACAGAAACTATTGCCTTTATCACTGAACTGAACAAGAGCCGCATCACTGCCGGGAACTATCCGAGACATTACACGTGTGTCTGAATTAACTTAAGAATACGTATAGTTGTTTAGTGAATAGTCAATTAAATTGCGTTCAACAAACGACGATTTGCACAATTTTTTATTTTGTCTCTGTCTAATCATTATGGAAAGGCAACGCAATTTGGAAGGGTAATGGTGAATTTGAGATCAAAAATTATAAATGGTCTATACATATATCATTCTTTTAAAGCATTTTCGTGCATTTAAATATGTATAATGTATGACATAAATTTTGTTGGCAGTTAACTTAGCTCTGCATCTGGTATTGCTGAGGTCCACTGGCGACTGTAATCACTCATCTGCAGATGGGCCGTATACTCGTCTGCTTACAAGGACAATACAAAAAAAAACAAGAAATCAATAATAATTAATACCAAACCAGTGGATCTCAAAGTTACGAACGATTAATATAAAGAAGGCGCGAAATATTTTTGACAGTTTCGAAAACCAATCCATTAATGATTAATTGCTTATGCTACAATGAAACAATAATTTCATATCACACAATATTGATAATTTATTATAACTAATGGTAATTGCCTAATATCAAGGGACGTTTGTATTGATAGTGATGATGTTTATGTGTTTATCTAAAATATTTAATTAGGTCAAGTTTTATCTGGAATTTGACCGAAGGTTAAATTGTGATTACATATAATATTTTCTTGTATCAAAATGTGCCTAAACATCCGGATTTTGTCATTGTTTAATATAAATTTAGGATGCTTTTGCATTTTATGATGTATCTGTATTATTATTATCTAAATTTTAATAGTATCAAATAATATCTTGTAGATGAACGAATACTATACATAGGAACTGTTAATAAAAAAATTTAATTGATGATTGATAATTAAAAATGAATATTTTGTACACCCTGTGTTGTGTGGTGTATCATAACCGTTTTAGTCCGTGAAGCTATTCTATGGACTTTTGTTCAAGAAAAAAATCTGTTTTATCTGATAAGTTTGTACATTTAATTACAATTGTACAGGTCGGACCGATCCTACAATTTTGTGTCTTGTAGTGTTGGAAGTATTGTAAGGGGTCGGTAGGTACCTCCTGCTGCCCAGTACTTGTGTATTATTGACTTGACTGAGACCTGATATAAGGTCTCGAAGGGGGTGGCTGCAATCACGCTGTGGTAAGAATAAATCCCCGTAAACACTTAATATCAGGTGGATAGCGAGTTGGACCACCCGTTTACGCAATAAAATGGAAAATAATCAAATAAAATAATAAAAAGACATTCCGTTAACTAGAGTAGCAAAATCGTATCTGTATAAAATATAATCGATCCTTAAAATTACGCTACGTTAATTTTTATTACCAAATAAATTTATATATATTTCAATATTTTTATCTTTAAAAACAATAAAAATTTCAGTTTTCATACTGAGAAAACTTACAAAACTGTTATTATTATAGCATAAACTTTTAACTTCAATTTTGAAATTCTTAAAAAGTATAAAACTATGATACGATAATTGTTATTATTATTTGAATTTTAGAAGATCTTGTTCTAGTCATTTCGCTGTTGTCACGTGGTTAATATGATTAGTCGTTGTATATTTAGATTTAAGCTGTTGTACTTCTTGTTACATTTTCTGGTTGTATTCTCACGAAATAAAAGAATCTTTAAACAAATTAATTATTTTTACTCTAAACTAAAAGTCATTTAGATATTAGAAATTATAAAGTAATGTTCGCATTCACTTAACTGTGTTGCGATTTGTGACCCTGACAAATTATAAGATGGTTGTATTATAAAATCCATCCCGTTTATAATTCACATACTGTGTTGCATATTTCTGCCGCTAAGTAGTCATACGTTAGGTGGAACAGCCTAAGATGGTATATTTCGTTCGTATAAAATCACTGGTGGTAGGACCTCTTGGGAGTCCGCACGGGTAGGTACCACCACCCCGCCTATTTCCGCCGTGAAGCAATAATGCATTTCGGTTCGAAGGGTGGGGTAGTCGTTGTAACTATACTGAGTCCTTAGAACTTATATCTCGAGGTGGGTGGCGCATTTACGTTGTAGATGTCTATGGGCTCCAGTAACCACTTAACACCAGTTGAGCTGTGAGCTCCTCCATCCATCTAAGCAATAAAAAAAAAAAAAAACTAAAGAAACACGCTTACAACAATTTTTTTTAACCCGATGATACCGGTTACGATATTATAGCGATTAATGTATTAACATCGGTCCTTAATGCGTGTGCAAAATTTCAAGTAAACTTGAAGTCAATGAAAATGATGTTCAAAGATTCCATTATGTACGAACCCCGGTCACCGTCCCCATTAAACTTTTCAGTTACGACAAAGTTCGGTGTGCAACCATAACCCATAAACACAGCCAACTGAGTTTCTCACCCGATCTTGTTAGTGGGTCGCGATTCCGATTCAGTGGTAGATTCAGCGAAGCACTGCTCTTGCTAGGGTTAGTGTTAGCAAATTCTCTCAGGCTGAGCCCGTGAATTCACCTACACATCCGTGCGAACATGGAGTAGCCCTTTAGACTACCAACGAATACCTTTTTTTATTTATTGCTTAGATGGGTGGACGAGCTCACAGCCCCCCTGGTACTAAGTGGTTACTGGAGACATCTACAACGTAAATGCGCCACCCACCTTGAAATATAAGTTCTAAGGTCTCAAGTATAGTTACAACGGCTGCCGCACCCTTCAAACCGAAACGCATTACTGCTTCACCGCAGAAATAGGCGTGGTGGTGGTACCTACCTGCGCGGACTCACCAGTGGTCCTACCAACAGTAAAGGACCTAGGAAAAGTACTGGCAAACATACATACCGAGCTAATAAACGCATGTTCAAATTGAGACTAATGATCTTATTTCTCAAAATGAGTGGTTGTAATCACGTGGTGATATTTATGGGCTCAGGTAATCATTTATTATTGTTGTTTAGATGGGTGGACGAGTTCGCGGCCCATTTGGTGTGAAATGGTTACCATAGAGCCATGATTGTTACAGTTTTACAGTATAACGGCCGCACTACCCTTTAAACCGAAACGCATCACTACTTCACGGCAGAAACAGGCAGGGTAGTATTATAGTAGCTACCCGTGCGGGCTCACAAGACCCTCTACCAGCGTACACCAGTTGTGGATATCAGTTAACAACACATTAGCTAAAATGGCATTATCTCGCACTAGCATCATGCTAATAATGTTGCATAGTGACAAGAAATCGAATACACGCCAAATTACAGCGTCACTAGCGTACTATAGTCTATACATATAAATAAAATTGGAGTGTCTGTTTGTAATATTGAAATAACGGCTTTTTACTACATACATATGAATATATATACGGTACATACATCAGAATAACATTTTTTACAATTTTTGGCTGTCTGTCTGTCTGTTTGCTCCCGCTAATCTGGAACGGCTGGACCGATTTTGACGAGACTTTCACTGATAGGTAACTGATGATATAAGGAGTAACTTAGGCTACTTTTTTATGACTAGCTTCGCCCCGCGGTGTCACCCCTGGTACGACAATAACTGCGGGTAGCATTGCGGTACTCAGCTATCAATAATAAAATTTAATGTTTCTGAAGCGAAGCGAGGGCGGGTCGCTAGTTTAACATAATAATAACAATGTTGAATTTCAAGTCAAGAAAGGGATTTTGCGTAATTAAGCACAAAATTCTTTTATAATTTATTACATTTTTATTATCAAACACAAACTAACTGTGTATATAATTTTTGTATTTACAATTTTTTTAGGTTATAATTTATTTAATAGTTGTCAGCATTATCGAATCGAAAGGTGTTAGGGGGCAGACCTCGATATCCTGTATCCCGTATAGTGAATATCGCACCACCAAGTGGTTCCGCTTTGGGTTCAGCTTTCTCCTGAGCTGTAGTGACGAATAGTTCGTCAAGATTTGGTCCTCCCCAGCATACGGAGGTGACCTTGGAAACTGGTAGCTTATAGGTGTAGATTACTTTTCTTATATCTGGATCTATATGTAAAACCTAAAAGAAATCGTTAGTTAGGAGATTGGTTATTTTGATGCTTATTCGAGTAATTAAAAAAAGAGGTGTTCACATGCAATAGAAGTGAAAACCTTCAGAAGTATATCTATACTCTAGCAGGATAAATCCTGTAGATGTTTGTGTTTGTCTCTGTTATTGACTCTTTGCGAGTGTTATTTCAGTTTCATTGACTTTTGAATCACAATGGTGCTGCTATTTAATGTTTTCACTTCAATAACGATTGTGCTTTATACTTAAATAAATGGTTTAATGAATAAGACATGTTTCTTTCTCTCTCTCGATTTCAGTTAAAACTTTGTCGTTTTTGTTTTTTTGTCTAGTACTATGACCAGACTTGGCGAAAAGGATCACACAGATTACCAATCTGGGTAATCTGGGTTTAGCGATGGTCAAACTGCGTGACCATTTTTAGCGTATTGGAAATCCTGAGCGCTTTAGCATAATGTTATGTTCTAAAGGATTAGCCATAAGCTACGACATCTATAACTTTTCGTATATATTTTCTAATTTAACTATAGATTTTGATGAGTTATCTATTGGAGATTTGATAGGAATGAAGGGCTCAAATTACTTTGAGTCTAGGGCTTGACCAGTAAATTCATATGAGTATCACTATATTAGCTACATGCATGAGCAACAAATTAACAAAAAAAATTAGGACGTAACTTACTGTTCCACCGAATAACAAAGCGACCCAAAGCCGTCCTTGACTGTCAATAGTCATGCCGTCAGGCATTGCTCCGTCATAGTCATTGCTAGAAAAATCCATAATAGTTCTTCTCGCACCTGCGTTTTAAAAAAAAACTATCATAATACACGAGTATCTTTTTTTTTTTGTTTTTTTTTTATTGCTTAGATGCTTGGACGAGCTTACAGCCCACCTGGTGTTAAGTGGTTACTGGTGCCCATAGACATCTACAACGTAAATGCGCCACCCACCTTGAGATATAAGTTGTATGGGCTCAGTATAGTTACAACGGCTGCCCCACCCTTCAAACCGAAACGCATTACTGCTTCACAGCAGAAATAGGCAGGGTGGTGGAACCTAACCGCGCGGACTCAAAAACGAGTCCGGGTCCACCATCACCATAATTAATTTGAAATGTTAGAAATACTAAAATGAATAAAATAAAGTTGGAGAAAAATCGAAAAAGTATTTTGAATCATATTCACGTCTAATTTTTTTTGTCTTTTTCTTCGTATCTTAATCGCTAGATTATAATTTTTGCTAACATCTGCCTTAGCAAGGAGAGTGATTTCTTGAATCTGCCACGGGGTTGGACTCGCGACCCACTAAGAACATCCGGTGAGAAACTCATTGTGTGTGGATTAAGTCGCACGTAAATAACTCTTCGCTGCATTTGGCGATTTCGACGAGAACAGTGATCGGCGCTTAGAATGCTTAAAGCACCAAGAGGGGTTCGGGAGGACTATTTTTATATTATGTATGAAATATGAGTTTCCATAATATGAGTATAAGAGTTTACGGTCCAAATGGCTTAAAAAGGATACTACTAGATCCATAGACACTACTTATAACGTGAATACTACCTTGAGACACGTGGTGTCAATTACAATACTATGTGTCAATTATAGCATAATGTTAAACTAATGTTAAGATCATCATCATCATCATTAGCCCAAAGTCGTTCACTGCTAGACATGGCCTCTCCCAATCCACACCACTGAGCCCGGTTTTCGGCTCTCCTCATCCACCTCTTGCCGGCCACTGTTCGGAGGTCATCGCACCACCTAACCAGGGGGCGTCCCACGTTAAGATCTCTAAGACGTCTCCAAGTTAAGATCATGTGGTAAAATTGTGATAATAACTCACTTATTTCTCCCGTAACCAAATCGAAATCAAAAGCTTCAATCTTCAGCGTTAAAGAGTCGATGTAATAAAGTACTGTATTGTTGGGAGACCATACGAGGCCACTGGAGATAGATACTGGCCGCAGCAGCACGCGAGGATGGGTTATACTTCCTTGTTCAATTCTATACAAAGTCGCTTTATCCGGTACGACTTCGTCACCGCTTTGAGGACCTTTTGTTCCTAGGATTCGACATTCTATTAATAATATTCAATAATATTGACGTGGATGACAAAATTGTTCAAAATATTAATTAGTATTCTTTAATGAGGAGTTGATTCAAGGATTGCGGTTGTAATGATGAGCAGAACAGCCTCCCGGCTATATTCCGTAGACAACACTATGACGGTTTTGGAATAAAGCGACTGTGTTATGTTCTTGACATTGACGATGTCCATAAACGTCGGTGACCACATATTACGCTGCCTATAAGACGGGCTATATATTTTGCCATCAAAAGTAATGGAAATAAAACTTCAATGAGGCCGTCCATTTTGAGATACATTCGAGAAAATTTCGATTACCTCACTACCAAGTAGCCAGGGATTCCATCCCTGAAAGTAAGATACCAACTTGCTTTGGGTGTTACCATAATTTATAGTATCCGCTACGTAGAATGAAGTTGGATAAGAATCTGTATTCAGTGGCATTTTGGATTTTTGGAAAGTACAAGCAGTGGAACTGTAAATCCACCCGTCACTGGTATCTACCCTGATATGTCCTCAATCATGGCTAATTATGTGATAAATTTTACCTGCCCAAAAGCGTCCGGCAGCGTCAGGTTTTCCTACATTAATCACATTATCCGGTAATCCCTGGTCAAGTGTCACGATCAAACGCAAGTCATCATCGCCCGCAATATCCCAGTCAAGTAAATATATCGCAGAACGCACACAGACCAGCAGCCTTCTAGTTCCAGACACAATCGCCACTGCGTTTAGCTCTCCATATCCTAAATGGTCAAAGGCAGTAATTTATAACCCAACTTTTGAAGTACATTTGAAAAGATTAAACCATGTTATCAGGGGAATTTTGTCCGGAAAGATCGTGGTGTTAGAGAAAAGAATTTATACGAAGAATTCCAACGGACTTGGGTCCCTGGTGTAGGTTTAAGGGCATTCCTATCAATTATTCAAATAAATTTGTGATTTTAAATTAGGTAAACAGCGGGATAATTGTATTGGGCGCAAGTATTTTTATATTACTGGTGATAGGACCTCTTGTGAGTCCGCACGGGTAGGTACCACCACCCCGCCTATTTCTGCCACAAAGCAGTAATGTGTTTCGGTTTGAAGGGTGGGGAAGACGTTGTAACTATACTGAGACCTTAGAACTTATATCTCAAGATGGGTAGCGCATTTACCTTGTAGATACCTATGGGCTCCACACTCTGTGGACTGAGATCTTTTTCACGCGTCTACGCAATACAAAAATATATTTAAGAAGTCTTCATTTAAAAGGCTTACTTTTTTATTGCTTAGATGGGTGGACGAGCTCAGAGCCCACCTGGTGTTAAGTGGTTACTGAAGCCCATAGACATTTACAACGTAAATGCGCCACCCGCCTTGAGATGTAAGTTGTAAGGTCTCAGTATAGTTACAACGGCTGCCCCACCCTTCAAACCGAAGCGCATTACTGCTTCACGGCAGAAATAGGCAGGGTGGTGGTACCTACCCGTGCGGACTCACAAGAGGTCCCACCACCAGTAATTCTCATAGTTTTTAATCAGAGTTAATTTTAAGGTAAATCTCTTTTTTCTTTCTTAAACACGAACCTATGTGCTTGACGTAAATCTTGCCGCTGACGTAGTCAAGTCGATGCACGTTCCGTTTGCTCACATCAACAAAGTACAAGTTCTGTTGATCCGGATCCCACACCGGACTCTTTGCGTGTTCAAATATCGCAGGGTGACCAGGATTATCTGGCGAGGAAACCTAAATCGTTGTTTGGAATTTACATCTTATTTTAGTAACCGAATATCACGTCTAACGTTATAATTTTAAAATACCAAACTAGGCCTATTTCTGCCGTGAAACAGTAATGCGTTTCGGTTTGAAGGATGGGGCAGCCGTTGTAACTATACTTGAGACCTTAGAACTTATATCTCAAGGTGGGTGGCGCATTTATGTTGTGCATGTCTATGGGCTCCAGTAACCACTTAACACCAGGTGGGCTGTGAGCTCGTCCACCCATCTAAGCAATAAAAAAAAATAAAAAAAAGGTATTCCATTCTGCTCCAGCTAAAATTATATTGTTTCATTTGATATGTATAGACAATATTTTTAATACTCACCATTGATAACTTATAATTGGGTTCCAATTCTTGAGAATTGGTAGCTTGAACATTGTATGCAGTGGAAATAATAATTTCAATTATCAAAAGTAATAAGTACATATTTTTTTTATATTTCAAAGGTAACAGCAATAGTTGTATATTTAGGGCATATTTTCAATAAATTGTTCAATCACTAGAGGGAAAGTATTTATTAGAATTTGTATGTACTTTTAAAGAAACGAAATTAGATTTGCTTTGTTCACTAAATACAAGTCACAAGTTCCGTAGTCGAAAGGGCAATTTAAGTGAATTGTTTTCATTATTCATTCAAAACAAAACTTGTTTGAATCACAAAACCCACAAACGTTCAGATAAGGGTAACCATGAATGAAACAAAGCTATATTTTTTTACTATTTTATTTCACAACTCAATCAGAGTTAGCGCTTGAGAAACAAATTATAATTATACCTTAACCTAATTAATTTATTGTTACACTAAATAATAATTCAGAAATATTTCTAAATTCACATCAAACATACATTGATTTTCTACACAATCCACGAGCACAAATCACATCCATAAAAGATCTTTGTTGATACGAAAAATTCAACATAGCGTACTAACAAGTCATGTTTATTAAATTTATACTTATAATTAAAGAGCTTTATTTTGTCACTAATGTAGTGTAATGTTATTAACTAATATGGGGCAATGAACTCAGTTTATTATTCTTTCATCTCGTGTTCGATAATACTAAAGACATAAAGACGGTCTAATTACTCATAAATTTTATTCACATTTATTGAAGAGGCCATTGATCTTTTGTTAGACATGTTACTGACCAGCCTATAGTTTACTTTAATCTCATGGTAAAACGCTTTGTATAGTAGTAAGACATCAGTCTTTATGTTAACAAAGTCGCATAAAATTGCTTGCGTTTTTTTTAAACTTTTGTTGGAGTAGGCAGGTTGGTAGTTATTAAGAGGGTAATGGAGTCTAAACACCTTGAGACACTAAGTAAAATTCTCCTCAAGCCGGACGCTTCTGCGACATGATAATTAGTGCCAAATTCACCACTTATAAAAGCTATAATTTATTGACATAAACTGCTGCTTGTAGTGGGTAAAGTGGATGGATGAAGATCCATAGATCGGTGCCAAAAAAGATTGGAGTGACCGACATAAGTGGATACAAATTACAAAAAAAACGTCACAGACGGGCGCATCCCGATGCTCAGCAATGAGGGCTCGACTGGAGGTGTAGGAGTAGTGGGTTTTTTTAATTGCCCTTGTAGGCAGACGAGCATACGGCCCACCTGATGGTGTGTGGTTACCGTCGCCCATGGACTTCAGCAATGCCAGGGACAGAGCCAAGCCGCTGCCTACTTTTCTTGTGTGTCACCCGCCTGAGTGGTCTAAGCGTGTGCGGGCTGCGGCGCGGGCTGCGCGTCGGCGGGCGGCGGCTGCTCGGGGTTGGCGGCGGCCGCCAGTCCCGCGTTCTCGGCTTGCAACCTTAGGAAAATATTATCAAATTAAAATCGATGTACTTTTAAACGTACGGAGGGTGATCCAATAACGAACACTTATATATTACTAGCGGCCCACTCTGGCTCGGCTCGGGTCTTTAACAAAAATTTCAACGATATTTGTCATTTTTATTTTTTTAAATAAAATAACACTTATTGCGGCATAAATACGTGTTCTACAAAATCGTAGTACATTATTTTATTCTATCATCAATCGTTTTCGCAGGGCACGCGATGTAAAGATTATTTTAGGTAATTTTTTACACCTTGGGTTACATTATTGGAGCTTTAGTAAAGATCCTTATTTTTTTTCAAAAAAGATTATAGCTCATAGGCTAGGTGACATATCACTCGGGAATAGTGTAGCTTTCGAACAGTGAAAGAATTTTTCAAATCGGTTCAGTGGTTTCGGAGCCTATTCAATACAAACAAACAAACAAATCTTTCCTCTTTATAATATTAAGTATAGATGTGCTGGTCTAATTAGAAGTCAGATTCAGTTTATGATTCATAAAACTGTATTTAATACTATTTAAGTGTTTAAACAGTATTAAACAAAAAACAGAAGCCTAAGTCCAATGCTCTGGTCTAACCGTTTTACTCTCAATACCTCAGTTCACGACGCCAACCACGCAGCAGAGAATAGATTGAGCTGGTGCACGATAGTCCTCGAGAAGGTTATCCAGAGGCCATGACCTTCAGCATTATGAATTATCGACGCAAAACCTATCTCCTCTCCAATTTATTGACACACTTGAATAAAATGATTTGTAATAAATAACTCAATTATCAGCACAATATCAAGTGCAATAATCACTTTTCTCACATTTACAGAGCATCGTTAAGCTAAAAAAATCTTTATCAGAACAACAATACCGTAGATACAAAACAGTAATGAATTATTCTTTTTTTATTTTTAGAAGTAAATTTTACAGCAACTAATCTTTGATGCTTTTTTTTATGATTGAAAGATCACTGGTGGCCCGGAGGCCTTTCCAGTTTTACCAGGACAGGTGGGCGAGCAAAGACTCAGCCAGGAAGGGTGGGATTTGCTAACAGCTTCCCGAGCGCCTCCGAAGGAGACCTAACAACTCAAGAGCAGCTGCTTCACGAATGAATCTACTACCGGATCGGAATCGCGACCCGCTGAGAAGATCCAGCGAGAAACTCAGCGGACTAACCTTTGATGCGCCTGATGCTTCGATCGGAACTCGGCTGCTTTGAGCTGCTCCAAGTGGAACTGCTGTCGCTCCTGTATCAGCTGCTGCCGTTGATATTCCAGGCCTGGAGTGTATACAGCATGTTAGAGCCAACAGTCATGAAACCCGCAAAATTACAATTTGCGTAATTACTGGTGGTAGGACCTCTTGTGAGTTACTCCCTTAGGTATGGTACACAGAAGAGTACTCCCTAATTCCTAGCTTGAGTGGTGGTGGGTGGTTTTTGAGTGAAATTAGTCCAAATAAAGCCAAGGCTTTGCAGAAATCACTTAATACACTTGCTTGGGTTCCTCAAAGATAATTTCAGCACCTGTGTAAATTGTACCTGGCAGACGACGCAACACGCCGATTCTTAATACAAAAAGTGAACAATCTTACAGGCTCTCATTACCAAACTCTTCTTATCAATTATAATTTACGTAATTACTGGTGGTAGGACCTCTTATGAGTCCTCGCGGGTAGGTACCACCGCCCTGCCTATTTCTGCCGTGAAGCAGTAATGCGTTTCGGTTTGAAGGGTGGGGCAGCCGTTGTAACTATACTGAGATCTTAGAACTTATATCTCAAGGTGGGTGGCGCATTTACGTTGTAGATGTCCATGGGCTGCAGTAACCACTTAACACCAGGTGGGCTGTGAGCTCGTCCACCCATCTAAGCAATAAAAAAAAACTAATCAGTTAAGTCGCCAATTATATTATTATGAACGCGACTGACCTTCCCGTTCCCTCTCCATGGTGGCTTCTAGTTCTTCAAAATGCCTAAGTTTAATTTCCAATTTCTTCATCTGCGTTTCGACGAGGAGCGCCACTAGTGACTTGATCTTACGTTCCTCGACGCCGGCGAGATGTTTGGCTTTAACTGCCGCAGCGGCCAACGCGGCAGACGCGGCAGACTGCAGCTTGGCGTCCACAGTAGCTGGGGCTTCTAACATCGGAAATAATATTTATTAGTTTCGACTCAGCTATGGAATTTATCGGATCTAGAAAGAGAAGCACTTGGTGGTAGTCTGTACCATGCGGTCTATGCCACCCATGATCGAACACAATGGAATAATGTCACATGTGATCGCAATCCTCAGTAGTGAGGAAACGTCAGATTTTTAGAAATTTAGATGTATTTAGAAGAAATAATTATTTGCGGTAGGCAGCGGCTTGGCTCTGCCCCTGGCATTGCTGAAGTCTATGGGCGACGGTAACCGCTCACCATCAGGTGGGCCGTATGCTCGTCTGCCAACAAGGGCAATAAAAAAAAAAAGAAGATTGGAATTTAGCTGTGCCGTCTGAGGCAGGGGTCGACAACGCGGCGCCTGCGGGTGCCATGGCGCCCCCAATCGATTTTTAATGCGCCCTCGCTGAACTAATGTAAATGTATGATAGCCAGAGCGATTTACTTACTCTTATCAAACGGCGATATACAGCAAGTAGTCAGTTGAGCTTAGGATTGTGCATAGATTAGCAGTTTGTTAACCTTGAGCATATCTAATAACACGCACGTATTTTTTGTTAGTGTGTGATCGTATTTCGAATAGACCACGCGTAGACCGTGCAGTTAAAACGACTACTACACATTTAGATAATTGTTTAAAGACCGGGAACTCTACATATATCCCCAATTATAAGAAGTTAGCTGAAAATATGGACACCCAAGTTTCACACTGAATTATATGTATCATTCATTATGTATGACGCCAACAAAATAAAGCTATAAAAAATCTGTTTTTTTTAATGCCTCTTTAAACCTGTTATCTGTAAAATATGCGCCCTCGGTGATCTTCAAATTTAGTATTGCAAACAGGTTGCCGACCCCGTCTGAGGGGTGAAGTGAAGCTTATAGTAGAATTATTTTGTCCATGCAGTTTGGGTCATAAAACATAGCCCGGCTAGGGCGGTGAGCAGGTTGCGCGGGTATAACGTCATTAGCGATAAAAACAATTATGTCATCGAAGGCAGGTACACGGCGGCGGGGCGATATACGAAGGGTGGTGAGACATTGTTATGTTATGAGCCATTTGCTGTACCTACCTGCGAATTATAGTACATATTATGTTGAAGAGAAATGTGATTTTTTGCATTCGCTCTCTGAATTTCTTTAATGACACAATGGCTAATCCTTTGTTTTGTGCCAAAACGGCAGTATTCATTCAAATATTTTGCTTGTTGGCAAAAATATACCAGCACAAGCACGTATTATTATCAACAATGTGTTAAAAAATTTCACTGAATTGAGAACAGATCCCGAAAAGTTACAAAGTGTAAATTTTCTGCCGTTCTCGTTAACTTGCTGCGGTGATATGTGGTGTAAGTGTTCGATTAGTGATTTTTTCTTTTATTTTTATCACTAACCCACAAAATTACAAAACTAAATACACTATCGATAATGCTTATCGACAACAATAATGCGCATCACTATGCCCGTCCATAAGGCTCGTGAGTGGAAGAGAGAGCGAAATACTCGCTTCACTGCACCGATTTTTTATGACCCAAACTGCACGGACAAAATAATTCTACTGTAGTTCTGTTGAGGTCGCGGTACCTGAGGGTTGCGGCGACGCGGGCTCGTCTTTGGCGTCCTTGTCTTCGGGCGGAGCTTGTTCCGACGGTTCCTCCTTGACCTTAGCGTCGCTCTCCTCCACTTCCATCGGCTCGTTCTTTACTTCTGAACCGCCTTCTTTCTTTTCGCCTAAAAATCAATGAGCGAGTGAAATGAAATCTTTTCTTATTAGTGTGAATATTTAATTGTTTTTCTCAATGTAGCTTTGTTTTGTCAGATTTATAATAGATGAATAAAATGTGTCATTATTCCAAATTTTTATATATTTTTTCTGGTAATTTATTTCATTATATTTTTTGTTAAGATTTTCACGAGCGTTTAGTGTTAAATAAATAAGATGTACATTTGCATTTATATATATGTCAGAGGAAGCAAAGAGTCGAGTTGACTCTTGTTCACGGGCATAATGCATAATATTATTTTATTTCTTACATTTTTCTGTGGCTTTAAAGCATTCTATAAAAATTAATTATAATAAAAGGTGCCAAAACTGTAAATTCACGTAGGTAACGACCAATCAGAGCAGAGCATTTACCTCGAGCGTGGTCGAGGCGCCATCTTTACATGCCGATGGCGATGCCAACCGGAACACTCATTCCCCGACATATATATTACCTGTGGGCTCGGGCGCGGTGCCGGCGATGCCGGTGGCGGCGAGCGCGGCGGCGGCTCCGTGCGCGCCCGCCGCCTTCACGTGCGCCTCCATCATGGCGGCCGGCACCTCGTCCTGACACATACACACAGATAATATGCTTGATGGAAACGTAAATGATCTATCTATATATATAAAAATGAATTGCTGTTCGTTAGTCTCGCTAAACTCGAGGACGGCTGGACCGATTTGGCTAATTTTAGTCTTGAATTATTTGTGGAAGTCCAGAGAAGGTTTAAAAGGTAGATAAATATGAAAATGCTCGGAATTAAATAAAAATAACAAATTGTTTTCCCTTTGATATGTGGGGGACACATCGGACGGATTCCTTTTGTTTGTTTTAATTTTTTTTATACAAAAGTTTAGGTCTTTTATTTATCGATTGTGGGACTACGAAGTCTGCCGGGTCAACGAGTTATCAAATAAATAATTGAGATATAAGCCATTTGTCTAATGGCCGGAGACGATATTCATAGTCTAAATGAGTTCAGGCAACCATTCTATACTGGCAGGTCTCAACTCGTACAAGCATCTATACAATAAACATTAAATTTAAATAACAACAAATCCACACCTTGATAGCAGCAAATTCATCCATCGCGGCTTTGGTGGCTTTGGCCGCGATGCGGGGGTCGACGACCGAGGCCAAGAAAGCGACGGTACTCATGACCGGGTTGCCGGTCTTGCTGAAGGGTATGGGCTGGTAGGCCAGCGGCCCTAAAACTCCGGCCGAGCCCGGCTCGTCCAGATACGGCTCCTCGATGGGCAGCCGCAGGAAGTGCAGGATGCACTCGTCCTGGGTCCTGGTGCCGACGTGCGCGGCCACGCGGTTCCAGTCGTCGCGGTGTAGCTCCAGGCCTTCGAGCAGCAGAAGGGTTTCCTGGTCTGTCCACTCCCGTCCGCGCTGTCCTCCGCGGTACTGCAACCAACATCGCGTCAGATTGTGTTGTGATACGACAACATATAAACTGGTGTAAGTCATTATTTTCCGCGCTCACTTTTCCTAGCGGTTTCAGCATCTCAATTGTATCAAACCATATAAAATTTTGTTAATTTAATATTTTTTGTAACCATGAGGACTATTTTAAATGAGCGTAATGTTCGACGCAGTGACGTATTATGTGTGACTCGTGTTTTTTCTCACATCATATCAATTTATCTGATAAAAACAAAACACGGTCGTGTTACTATTCATAAGTAACACAATTTTTAATAAAATCCGAAATTTGTTTTGATCAAATTAATTGATGTTTAAAAGTATATTATTAGTAAGTCAACCGTGTGTTCCGTATGAACAGCTCGTGCGTGCGACAGGGGCGTGTGTGTACCTGGTCGAGTTTGATCCCGGGCGCGGAAGGCAGTTCTGGTCCCGGCTCCACCTTGAGCGGGGCTGCGGGCGGGGCGGCGCCGCTCTCCGCCCCGTTGGGCAGACCGGGCTCCACTTTAGGAACGTTCTCGGCTGCAAACATATATTCAATGTTACCATTAAACGGTACCAAATTTATACTATCGAGGATTGTAAGTTGTCCGATTGCGCTGAACTAATTTTAAGTGAAATAGAAAATTTTTCTAATTGTCTCACAACTTACGGGAAAAATCTGTCACGGATCATTTCCCAATTAAATATAAATTAATCTTAAGCAATCAATCAAATGTAATCAAATCTTAGTTATATAATTTTTTTATTTTTGTTGTTAATGCATTGTCGATTGCACCTATAATTGAGGTGGCATCTGCCATGAACTTTTGTCAATTGGTCAATGTTTTGTAATGATAAATATCACGTTAGCGAACATCAAGTTTAGTTTAGAACAAGTGAAGTGGGTTACCTGGTCTGGGCTGCGCGGGCCGCGATATGAGCGGCTGCAGTCCGGACGGCGTGTCCGACAGCACGTGGAAGTGGGACGTCGGAGGCGGACCCATCGCCGTCGGACGCGACTCGGTTTCCAGCTGACGAAATAATATATTCCATTTAAAAACAATGTCACTTAACCCTTCGGCTGCCGTCTAAATCACCGGTGCCTTGAAGTAGCGCATTCATGTGATTATGTCGACCTTTCTCCTCGAACTTTTTACTAGGGCGCGGAATATCTATCTCTAAGAAAGACAAATCCGAAGTTACAGAGAATGAATACAATAGGTTGGGGAAAAAGTCTTTTCTCATTATACTATGTATGAACTTGTAATAAAATCTCTTTGGCTATACTTTTTGTATCTGGCTGGTTTTGGTATCATTAAAAGTTAAATTTTAAAGAAGATAATTCCAAACACAAGCCGCGAAAAAAAAATTGCGATGTTTATGCACCTAGTGCACTAGTGTCTGTGAGAGTAGCACAAATTTGGTTTAAGTGTATTCAATCCGGAAATTTTGATGTCAAAGATGCACTTCGTTCTGGTCGCCCTATGACGGATAAAATGGATGCCATTTTTGAAAAAGTGGAGCAAGATCGGCATATCAGTAGTTACGACGTAGCTGAAGAGCTGGGGATTGACCACATTTTTTTTCACAAAAAAGCTCGATATTTGGCTACCTCACGAGCTCACTGAAAGAAACCTAATGAACCGTGTACGACGTAATGAAACCGAACCATTTTTGAAGAAGCTGATAGCTGGTGATGAAAAGTGGATCACGTACGACAAGAACGTGCGAAAAAGGTCGTGGTCAAAGGCCGGTCAGACTTCACGGACTGTGGTGAAACCCAGGTTAACTCGCAACAAGGTGATGCTGTGTGTGGTAGGATTGGAAGAGCATGAGCTGTTACCACCAGGCAGGACCATCGATTCTGAACTCTACTACGAACAACTGATAAGATTAAAACACGAACTTGAGAGAAAGCGGCCGGAATTAATCAACAGAAGGGGTGTGGTTTTTCAACATGATAAGTCTAGACCTCACACATCTTTAGCCACTCAGCAAAAATTAAGAGCTTGGCTGGGAGGTGTTAATGCATCCGCCGTATAGTCCTGACCTTGCACCTTCAGACTTCCACCTGTTTCCGTCTCTTCAGAATTCTTTAGGCAGTGTCAGGTTAACATCACGAGAGGACTGCCAAAACCAATTGTTGCGATATTTTGATCAGAAGCCCCAAAATTTCTATAGCAATGGGATCATGTCCCTACCAACAAGATGGCAAAAAGTTATCGAACAAAATTGTACCTATAAATGGTACCTTAAAAAAATTGCAAAAAAACTTTTCCCCAAACTATTATTTCTAAGAGAACTAAAAGAATAAAACATACATTCAAAAGAAAAGCAAAGGGCAATTCAGGCGCTTAGTAACACGACGACGTTATTACTTTAGTGCGCCGCGTAGGGCACCGGTGACCTACACGGCAATCAAAGGGTCAATGATTGAGTTTCGACCTCACGTTTCAACACGCGGACAGTGAGTCACCTGGTAGTTGACGAGTCCCCACTGCTCCAGGAAGCCGTGCACGCGCATGATGGCGCACACGTCGCCCGCCAGGTTCCGGCGGCACGCCGTGCTCGTCAGGTACTCGGTCGGGTTCAGGCGGTACGTGTCGATCATGAAGTTCCTGCGGGTAGTACTTCAAATTAATACGCCGTTTAAGAGACATTTAATTCGAAAACAGTTCTTATAATAATAATCTAAAAGTTAATTGTGTCCGAATATATCTTTTTTAAATTGATGTGAATTTAATTAAATATAAAATGTATGTTGCAGAATTTTCTCGGTCAACTAATAAAGGATGCACCCTGATGTTATTTTTATGAAAAAGTTTTAATTTAATTTTCGATTAGTGTTATTTATATTATAAATATAGTTAATAATTATTATAGTTGATATTGTATTTTTACAGTTTTTATCTACAAGAACATTATATCTCGGAACATTTGTAACATCGTTTTGCAAAAGAAATACGAATTTTAATTCAAATCTCTTGCACGATTTTTAAGATATTTTATTTAATATTTTCACTGATTATTAACAGCTTTATTGGTGGGTACAATATAGATTGGCACATGAAGTTTTTTAAATTATTAAAATTATTATTAATTTTTCTTATAATTTAGTAATAAAAATAGTGATGTACAAAAGCTAATGAACCTGTAGGCTAGATATATTTCAGGAGTTTTCGACTTGTTCTTTCCGTTGAAAAACTCTGGTAGGGCGCGTTTCTCGATCATGTGTATGGAGTTGTAGTCGAACCAGGCGGAGTACGAGGGCACGACGATGTGGTGAGTCTGATCCGTCACGTTGTCCTCCAGTTCTTCTTTGGTAAGCATTTCCTGTCACGAAATACAATAATGTATAATTACTCCAATCATGATACAACTAACATAGAAGACCTTTTGGGACCTTAATGCATCTTATTTATAATGCCTTAATTTCGATTAGAAATTAAATAAGAATTCCTCGTGAGTGAACAGATGAGTAGCCGATCGAGGAAGTCAGTGAATATTCCCTTTTTTTAATTGCTTAGATGGGTGCACGAGCTCACGGCCCACCCGATGCTAATTGGTTACCGGAGCCCATAGACATCAACAACGTAAATGCCGTCACACACCTTGAGATATGAGTTCTAAGGTCTCAAGTATAGTTACAATGGCTGCCCCACCCTTCAAACCGAAACGCATTACTGCTTCACGGCAGAAATAGGCGGGGTGGTGGTACCTACCCGCGCGGACACACAAAAGGTCCTACCACCAGTAGGTAGGTGAATGTAGTGATCTATATTGAGGGAATGTAGTGTAATTTTACCTGTGTGTTAGAGTCAGAATGTTTTCCCTGCGAGTCATCGTGTGAGTCGGGATGCGGCGCTGGGGTGGGGGGCGCCTCCACGGCACTCGCGCTCTCGGTGGCGCCCGCACTGGCACTCGCACTGCCACTCGCACTCGCACTCGCATTCGAGGCGCTAGCTGAGGTGGTGCTCGCTGGACAACCATATTACATTAATACATGAGAATAAATAATTTAAACTTATGATTTCTCATATCTGCAAGGTACGGACTCGACCGATTTCACTTCTTATGAAAACTTTAAAATTGAAAAATTTACAAATACCTCCAATAATTATATTTTTATATAGCAGTCCTTCTGAAGGTTTTAAGATTACGTCGCGTTGTTGCATTTGAATTTAAGCACTCAATAATAATTAGAAAAATTAGAAGTAATTTTTAATTATTTTTTTTTTTTCTATATAACCACTAGTCTTCGAATTTGTGTTTATGCCCATAATAATATACTTAAATTAATTGCTAATTTATTATTAGTAGTGGTCGCCCGGTAGTCGAAATTCGACTACAATTAATTTAAATTATAAGTTTGAACATTATTAAGGGTCTATTGTCAAAGACTATCATCATAGACCTCTATAATAACTAATTTCACCAAGGCTACGCCGTAGATAAATATTGATAAAGACAAACATTAATTAATCTATTCTCATTTTGACCACAGACTAAAAGGAATAACAAACGTTTGACAATAAACAAATAGTATGCATGCGTGTGTGTGCCAAATATATGGTAGTCTGTGTAATGTTTTTTTTATTGATTTAATGAATTTTTGCGCAATTAGAAAAAAAAATATTTGCATTCTGCACTCCTTCTCTACATTCTTTATAAGTGTGGGAAATTTCATACTCCTCCGTCTGCGCAATTTTCTTAAAAAGGGGGACAAACTACAAAGTTTTTGCTTCACGTATTAATATATTGATTGTAAAATGCATGTTAGTTCGTATTTTCTATGTCCGATTGGGTATTAGAAGAGGAGAGACGATGTAAACATAATATGAACTATTTGCTGGTGGTAGGACCTCTTGTGAGCCCGCGCGGGCAGGTACCACCACCCTGCCTATTTCTGCCGTGAGGCAGTAATCCGTTTCGGTTTGAAGGGTGGGGCAGCCGTTGTAACTATACTGAGACCTTAGAAGTTAAATCTCAAGGTGGGTGGCGAATTTACGTTGTAGATGTCTATGGGCTCCAGTAACCACTTAACACCAGGTGGACTGTGAGCTCGTTCACCCATCTAAGCAATAAAAAATAAATAAAAAAACTAACGCTCCGGCGGTTTTTCGGCGTCGGGCGCGGGCGTGACGTCAGTGTTGTCGCGGGAAGCGTTATCCTCCTCCTCGTCCACGTCGTTTTCGCGACGCTTCGCCAACCGACTGGAAAGTTTAATAGCGTTTCATTACCGTAACAGACAGAGGAGACGACAGAAAATTACGTCACTTACACATAAATGAGATCGAAACCTCAATCTTCCCGGTAACGGCCGTCTGGTGTAGTGGTAAGTGACATGGTCACTACACAAGGGGGTCGCGGGTTCGAATCCCGCCAAGGGAAGATATTTGTATGATAAATATAAACGTCTTTCCCAGGGTTATGGATGTGTATTAAATATATGTATGTGTATAATAAAAATCTTACATTTATATCCGTTATCTGGTACCTGTAACACAAGTTCTTTACGAATTTATCACGGGACCAGTTAACGTGGCGTGATTGTTAGTAAAAAAAAACAAAAAACAAAAACATTCATGCAAATTTAAAAAATTATCTCCAGTGTCAGTGCCTACATCCCTTTAAAGTTCTTTAGTTTTAAAAAAAATATTCTTGGACAGAATCACTCACCTGTCTGTCATTCAATGAAAAGAGTAGTTCAGTTTTGCATAATAAAATAAGACTGTTTAAAATATTAATTTAAAAAGAGATTCAAGGGCTTTAAATGTTGTTTTCTCATTATATTACAGAAAACGCAATTAAGTCTTTTGTTGTTAATTCATTCTGGAGTATTCTATGTCATTATATTCATAATTATATTTTCGAAAAAAATTTGATCAAGACCAATCCAGTCTTAATCAACAGACACTAAGACGTCATACATTTGAAGGCAATAAACCGTAGAATTTTCTTTTTTTATTACAATCATAAATAATCTCGGCATCAACCAATAACATATTAAGTATTTTTGCCCTGATACCATTCGACAATACCACAAATCAACAAATTATGTGGATTTCTTATTTTGATTAATCTGTTATATCTTCTGTACCTAAGTAATTTGTGATACGTACTCACGTGGTATAGTCTGTAACTTTTTTTTTTTTTTTTGTCAGGAGGATATTCTGTACCTAACGTAATTCGATAATTAGGTAACTAAGGTACTGCTGCATCACTTGATCTCATTACACTAGGCCTCTCGCAAATCAGGCTACACAGACTTTAAATATCTTAAATAATCTCTTGTTTAAATATAGTGCAAAAGTAAATAAAAAAAGTGTGTGTGTGTTCAAGTCACACACGGTAGAAGTGAAACTTATAAACAAGATATAGATATACTGACTATCCCACTACACAGTAGCATACATATGGACAATGTTGAGTAGACGATAGTGGGGATGCTACGAAGAGTCGCACAAGGAGAAGACCAAGAACGTCTGATATGTTCTATCTCATTCTCTCGCCGGCTGAATCTTATATAAATTTATGTGTTTGTGTCTCTATGGACTTATTTTTTCGTTTCATCGAGTTTGAAATCACAACGATTCTAAAGAAGTTTCACTTCAAAAACTGTACCTCTTCCTTTTGCTGTGCTTTTGTGGTGGAGGGGAGGGCGACCTCTTCCTCTTACTTCCCTTCTTGCTCCTGCTTGACGGCTCCGAGCCGGGTATGAGGTCGTCCACGGACAGGCGCAATTTGTGAGTCTAAAACAGATTCGATATCTGATCTGGTATTGTGTTACGGATGTCTTAGTCTCAAAACGCAAGGTAGCCTCATCGTTCGTGCTTACAAAGCGGCAGTAAGAAAGCCTAATTTTTTTTAAAAGGGATTTTATGACCTGGTAACTAAGACCTTTTGGTCAAGTCTTATTTTCAAATGATTATACGAAGTGAAATGAAATATAATCTCAGTAAAATTGTGGCCATTTACTGAAACTTTTTCGGTTGACTTTTTGGAGGATCCCAAGAAGTTACGTCCAGCGGCTTTGTTTTATTTTCCCACATTTAGATACTAAACAGTTAATAACCCAACACCGTTATTACACATTTAAACATGAAGAAACCCTAAATAGACAAAATAAAACAAATCACACAACTTCACTCCTCGCGTTCCCTGCAAAAAGTCGAGATAGTCTTATAGCAACGATCGGTAATGGAATAGGCAGGTACCTTCTTTTTCCCGTTAGCGTCGACCTCGTAATCTTCCTCGTTCATCCACTCGTTGTATTGCGGCAGGTCGAGCGCCCACGAGGCGGTGACGCGCCACGGCTCGCTTCGGGTGCACTCCCAACTCACGGCTTCAGGAGTATCCACCTGTACGTGTGCTCGAATGTGTTATATTTGGGCCATTCAAAAACGCGCGAACTGAGTCGTAAAAATCATTTTTATCAGACCTCTCACTCACACTTTTAGTGTTGTGTTTATAAAAATTAAATCTAGAAACTAATTACACAAAAAAAAAACGTTATAGTGGTATAGTATAATGAAGGAAAAGACAAGGATTTTTAATTATTATTATTATTATTCGGTCATCGGCTGGACCGATTTTGGCGAAACTTTAGCAGCTGTTGTTATAAGGAGCAAGATAAAATTGTGATTTTTTTTTACAACAACAACAAACAGTCTCAGAAGGCCAACTTTAACTGATTATAAATAAATACAATCGACAATTTTAATGAACTATGATTTCGATTGCTATTGATTTACGTGGCATTAAAGTCGAATTTACCTTGTCTACAAAACGATTCATAAAATCACTTATTATTAGAATTAGAATCTAGAAACGGATGCTTGTTCTTTGACGGCACCCACTTCGCGTGAATTAGACCGTCGGCAAATTTAACCAGTAGTCCGGGAACAGTGTGCTTAGTGCGAGTTTTTTAAAGCATTCTCGATAGCGTAAAAGTTAGCTTATATTTGTATGGAATGGGATTGTTTGCGTACGTTTGCCGCTAGGGGCGCTATTCCAACTGCATAAAAAATTGGGTTGACTTTTACGCTAACGAGAACGTTAAGAAACTCGCACTAAGCACACCTAGCGGTCGACTTACGGGTAGTTCGGCCTGTGCCCAAGTGTCGTGACTGTCTGGTAGATAGTACCAGTGCACGAGTACGTGGTTACCGCGTTTGAACACCGGACGAGCGTACTCCTCCTCGTGAGGATCCATCGTCGGGTAGATTATATGCGTAGCGTCCTCTTCGTCTTCTGCGAATCAAAAAAGTTTTGCTGTCTCACGAATCAATAGGACCAAATTCGAAGAAACTATCGAAAAACTACTACTGGTGGGAGGACCTCTTGTGAGTCCGCACGGGTACGTTCCACCACCCTGCCTATTTCTGCCGTGAAGCAGTAACGCGTTTCAGTTTGAAGGGTGGGGCAGCCGTTATAACTCTACTTGAGACTTTGGAAGTCGTCGTGGCCTAACGGATAAGTCGTCCGGTGCATCGTGTTCAGCGATGCACCGGTCTTCGAATCTCAGGCGGGTACCAATTTTTCTAATGAAATATGTACTCAACAAATGTTCACGATTGACTTCCACGGTGAAGGAATAACATCGTGTAATAAAAATGAAACCCGCAAAATTATAATTTGCGTAATTACTGGTGGTAGGACCTCTTGTGAGTCCGCGCAGGTGGGTACCACCACCCTGCCTATTTCTGCCGTGAAGTAGTAATGCGTTTCGGTTTGAAGGGTGGGGCAGCCGTTGTAACTATACTGAGATCTTAGAACTTATATCTCAAGGTGGGTGGCGCATTTACGTTGTAGATGTCTATGAGCTCTGGTAACCACTTAACACCGGGTGGGCTGTGAGCTCGTCCAGCCATCTAAGCTATAGAAAAAGAAACACTCACCGCATATCTCTCCTTGATGATTGACAACGATGTCTTTGACCTTATTAGCGGTGGCCTTATCGACTTCCGAACGTATGTAGACGCAGGGCGAGCGGATGACGTCAGCACCGAGCAAAGCCGACTCGATCTCCATCATCATTTGCACGTTCAGATCTTTGCGCGAAGGGTTCTGGAAATGTCGATGGAGGGGTGCGACGAGGAGGAGACACATAACAATAATTAAGTATTATTGTGGAACTCTAAGAAATTATAGTTGACCGATATAGTAAGCTAGTTGAAGCTAATTTTGATGGTGGCTGGATTGATAACATTATACTGTGAAGAACTGTTTATTTTAAAAATACATGATACGATTGAAAAAAAAGAACAGTGCTTCTATTTTTAATCTTTTGAATAAAAATGACCTATCAATGAATGGTCCAGTTTCAGGACAAATAAGAATCAATTTTTTTTAAAAATGTTTTTCTATTGTGTTGATACTTATAAATGGATATTTTGCAAATATTATAGAATTTGTTATACATTATCATAGTTTAAATAATATTTTTCGCTATTTATTTCAAATGAGCGAAGGGTAATCTTAAATTAAAAAATACAAAAATTACATCCCCATTTGACTTTCTATATTTATTCAGAATTGAAACTTCCTAGGTACAGAAAGTGACGAATTTTATTTATTTTTATTTGTAAATAAAAATCATAAATAAAACGAATCAAAAGTAAATTGAAATTTACAAGAATGGAAAAAATATAAATTTAAAAAACTTCTTCAGATACCCAACATGATATGACATGCAAACGGTTTAATATAATTAGTCACAGAAACACAAATGTTATAGTTCAAACGATTTAATTTAATATTGAACACTCCCAAAACATAGATATACCTTTTATTTACTAGAAAAAATTGTGTATTAAGAATACACATAATAATTCTCTCTAGTATGGACACACAAATGGAAAAAGCTATCGATGGTGTGTGAAATGAAATTACACAATAGAAAAATGTGAATTTCACCTGAACAAATCCCTTTTTTTTGCTTATCTTAGTCTGGCCATAAATACTGTTACAATTAAAAATAAACAAAATATTACATGTAAATATTAATTAATTTTTGTTTGTGACAGAAAAAGATCTGGCCGTCCACGTAGTGTTCGTACGAAAAAGGTGGTCAAAGCAGTAAGGGAAAGAATTTGAAGAAATCCTGTCCGAAAGCAAAAGATTTTATTGCCATTTATTATTTATTGTAATTGTATGTTATTTGCCATAGATTTTTTTTGTTTTCCTTTGTAACAGTATTTATGGCCAGACTAAGTATGGATGACGAGCTTACGGTCCACCTGGTATTAAATGGTCACCGGAACCCTATGGATTCAGGGTAACATCGACAATGTTGCTGCCACCCACCTTGACTCATGAGTACAATTTCCAAACCAAAACTGATTATTGCTTTCCAGCAAAAATAGGTAGCTTGGTGGTACCTACCCGTGTGGGTCGTACCACTCAATTTATAGTATTATATTATATTATAACATTCTGTTGTCGTATATAAATCTATGAATATGTTCACCCTTAACAAAAACGTGCAATTAGTATGAAAAACGACACGCAATCAAATATGAAGTCATTTTTGTTCTCATGGTGAGATGTTGATGTCTTATCCTTTTGCAAAATATACAAAGCAATGAGAAAAGTGCATTTATTGCTTGAAAAAAAAACTGCGTGTTGTTTCATTATGAGTTGCATTGTTATTTTGCCTAATGTTCAATTCACGAAAATATACAAACAAAGCAAGTCAAATCAAATTCAGAAGAATTAAATTTATACACAATATAGATATTTGCATTGTTTTTCTATTAATAATTTAAACAGCTTATCAACCAATATTAATTGACATACATCAATAGCTAGTATAATACTTGTAAGGTGATTTTGATTTCTATCTAATCGTTGGTAACCTAAGGGGCTATTCCAAATTCACGCGGACCGGTAGTTAAGCTCACGGGCTCAATCTGAGAGAATTGCTAACACTAGTCCTAGCAAGAGCAGTGTTTTGCTGAATCTACTACCATCTACTAATCGCGACCCACTGAGAAGATGCGGCGAGAAACTCAGTGGGCGAAGGTGACTTAACGAGATTATGCTTTGATAAAATTCGTATATTGAACATGACACGGCCCAGGGTGCGGTTCACTGGGTCTGTAGCGGGGTTGTGAGCGATGCGGACGCGTGCGGGCGGGTGCATACCTTACCGACCTGGAAGTCGAATTTACGCCACCGCTGCTCCGACTTGAAACGGAACATGGTGGCGAGCACCGTGCACAGAGAACCGCCCGGCTTCATGTCCATAAACACTTTCATCTGGAAACAATATTTTTCTATTTAAATTCTATTTGTATAATAATAATATGCTAGTAATACTATTTACATGTTAAATGTTACAGCCAATCACTGTCGTGTTTTTATAAATCTATCTATCTATATAGTATATAAAAATGAATTGCTGTTCGTTAGTCTCGCTAAAACTCGAGAACGTCTGGACCGATTTAGCTAATTTTGGTCTTGAATTAATTGTAGAAGTCCAGAGGTTTAAAAGGTAAATAAATATGAAAATGCTCGGAATTAAATAAAAATAACAATTTTGTTTTTCCTTTGATGCGTTCCCCGTCGGACGGATTCCTTTTGTTTGTTTTAAGTTTATTTTATACAAAAGTTTTGGTATTTTATTTATCGATTGAGACACTACGAAGTCTGCCGGGTCAGCTAGTTTAAAATATATTTTTCAGTGTCCAAGAAAGTGCTACACACAAACCAAACGTCCTTTATTTTAATATCAAGTCAATAAAAAGTAAACCTTATAATCTCAAAATATCTATTTATTTTGTGTATGTAGTAGTATGCTGATATAAATATCATTCACGAAGGAATCTTGCCTTTGCAAGAAAAACTGGAACGAATTAAATGAAGATAGGCTGTAAGATCTTGTAACATGTCTAAATAATTACGAAATATTTGTAGACGTATTTTTTTTTTCAATTAATTCCAAATGATATTCTTTGGTTGTCTCTTCAATTCGGTTAGTTGTTGGTTCTGCTATGTCTTAATACAAGTGAATAGGCTATTAATGCTATTACAAATTTTGATATGATATTGTTCCCGTAAAAGGAGCCCATTATGACCAGTAAGAATCAAAATACACAATGGACACAAGCTAATGCAGTGTTCTGTTTTAATCCAAGACTTCAATAAAGAACGAAGATACTAGTAAAAAATTAGAAATCCTGGGGGTTTGTTTTAAATTCACTGTAACTGGAGACTATAGATATCAATCACGTCAATGGCGCGACCCATTTGAGACATGTGTTATATTATAAAAAAACTCATTCAACTAAGTAATAGCGTATTTGGTAGTAAATTTGTAATTATGTAAGGTCTTCCTGTAATGTTATATGTATATAGTTTTTTTTTGTTTTTTTATATAATCAACCGCTTTTTTTTCGATGCATGCAGTCGGTACCTGTAATGTTCTGCGCTGATGTATAACATGTTGGTACCCAATAAATAAAATAAAATAAGTCTCAGTTTTTATAGTATTAATGGGTGCTCTACTCTACAAACCGAAACGCATTAATGCTTCACGATAGAACGAGGCAGGGTTATGGTACCTACCCGTGCAGTCTCACAAAACGCCCTACCTCCAGCAATTGCGCAAATTGTATTGCGGGTTTGATTATTATTAAACGAACATTTGCCAAGTACGTTTTCATTAGAAAAACTGGTAACTGCCTGCGGGATTCGAATACCGGCACAGTCGCTCGATAGATATGCACCGTTTTAGGCCACACCTTCATAATGTAATCATTATTTTATTTTTGCTTGGTTTGGCAAACGAACTCATGTCCCACTCGGTCTAAACTGGTTACCAGGGCTTATCGACATTACATAACATAAGGTCGAAGGGTCAATTGTATTTGAAAGCGGCTTATCAAGCCAGAAAGGTAGACTACTTCTCGGTAAAAGTAGGCAAGCCGACGGTACCTACTAATACTTCTTACCGCCGTCAAATAACCATTGACGATCGAAATACACCAGTATAATACTCAAAGCATGCTGATGCCCATTCTCCTATGAAACCCTTAGTTCCCTTTTACCAGACCAGACCCACGGAAAGAGCGGTTATGCCATTTTAGGCTGACACGACGCAGCCATGTGTACGTACACACGCGCACGCACACACACGCACACACCCACTCACACACGCGCGCGCACACACACACACACACACACACACACACACACAGATCGAGTACGTAAGTCGGTAATACGATAAAACACATGTGAAAGTAATAGTTCTATGAAAACAGGATTTTTAACCATTGTATAAAGTCCTTACGATGGACCGGTTGACAATGACACTAACTATGTTACAGGCAACTCTCAAACAGGTTTCACTGCTCGGTTCATCTGCTAATTAGTATTATAACTATAAACACTGCTAAATAATGATATCTTCATACAAAAATAATTTATATGTAACAAAAATATAAGCCTATAATAAAAATATTGTTTACGCGTACCAGCCTGACGGAATGTCACCGCGGCCTATGGACACCACGTACCATCCGGCTATGGAATGAGCCGAATGGACATATATGTCCTTCTTCAAACGAGGTTTGTGGAGAGTATTAAGCGGTAGGCAGCGGCTTGGCTCTGCCCTTGGCATTGCTGAGGTCCATGGGCGACGGTAACTACTCACCATCAGGTGGGCCGTATGCTCGTCTGCCTACAAGGGCAACAAAAAAAAAACGTCAGGGACGTCAGGGAACAGCCTCAATCTCATTTAACTTAGTCTTAAACCGTATTTACTTGGATTGATGACGAATCATTGATACGTAAGCAGCACTGAAATAAATACTTACTAAATAAATACTTTTCGAATAGTCGTTTAACATAAGAAAAGCAACCGCAGTGCACATTATTATGCACGTATGCAAATATATTAATGTGAAACACTATTCTTAACTGTATACACATATACTTGCAAATATTTTTCGTTTGCTCTAACACGAAATAAATAAATAAATATGTGTTAATATAATATGTTACTATTTCAAAACGCTTAATCATTTTTAATTTTTTTACTTTCTAGCATAATTAATTTTAATATGTACTAGCTGACCCGGCAGACTTCGTAGTGCCTCAATCGATAAATAAAAGACCTAAAATTTTGTATAAAATAAACTTAAAACAAACAAAAGGAATCCGTCCGACGGGGGACACATGAAAGGAAAAACAAAATTGTTATTTTCATTTCATTCCGAGCATTTTCATATTTATCTACCTTTTAAGCCTTCTCTGGACTTCCACAAATAATTCAAGTCCAAAATTAGCCAAATCGGTCCAGCCGTTCTCGAGTTTTAGCGAGACTAACGAACATCAATTCTTATTTATATATATATAGATTTATATCTTTGCATTTGGTTAAAGAATCTTTAACAAAATCTGTATACTACATATAAGAGTAAGAGTAAAGACACTAAAGTAAAAAAAAATCTTAAGCAGTAGTGGCAACAGTACTCATCTGTAAAAGCTCCTGATGACATTACATTATAATATCTTGAATATCTAGTTTTAATATCGGATAAAATTTAAAACTTTCCTTTTTTTATTGCTTAGATGGATGGACGAGCTCACAGCCCACCTGGTGTTAAGTGGTTACTGGAGCCCATAGACATCTACAACGTAAATGCGCTACCCACTTTGAGATATAACTTCTAAGGTCTCAGTATAGTCACAACGGCTGCCCCACCCTTCAAACCGAAACGCATCACTGCTTCACGGCAGAAATAGGCAGGGCGGTGGTACCCACCCGCGCGGACTCACAAGAGGTCCACCCACCACCAGTAATTATGCAAATTATAATTTCCTTCGACCAACGAACATTATTTTGAATGTTTACAGACAGAACAACAATGCTAACCGTTTCCTTAAATGTTAAATAACAAGACCCTGAATGAGGTCGCGTTTCCGCAATAACAACTGATCATCCGAAACCAATTCTCTCAATTTCAAGCAATTATATACTATATTAGTCTGCATTCACAGTTTAAATTACCTAGATTTCAAACTAGCGATCAAATAGATTAAAACTTCTAGCGATGATCATAATGATTATACAGGCAAGGCAGGCAAGATGAACAGATACAGGCAGAAATTTTGTACTTAGTTATTAGTAATACTTAATGGTTCATGGTGTTTATACGTTTTATAATATGCATAATATGTATGTACTTGAGTAAATTGAACTTGAACTTTTTTTGCGTACATAAAAATGTTGCTTTAGTTTGTAACATTAATGCGTTCCGTTCTATTTTATTAACTTCCATCATTGGTATCTCTGCCCCTGGCATTGCTGAAGTCCATGGGCGACGGTAACCACTCACCATCAGGTGGGCCGTATGCTCGTCTGCCTACAAGGGCAAAAAAAAAAAAACATTTTAACTTATAATTTCTATGGTTGTAATTTGTTTCGTGCATCAATAAAAAGAAAAAAAAATACATCAAGCACCTCTAACACATCTTCAAAAATTCAAATGGAGAAGATTGAACAATTATTATGTTAGTATTTCTTTTTTAATAGAATTGTAGAGAGAGCGACTCCGTAATTCGAAAGGTATGGAACTAATGAAAGTTTAAAATAAAATAATAACAATGCGCAAAATGTTACTTCAGGAAGCGGCTTCATTTTTTTTAAATAATTTCTTGATATCGACTGAATGCTACTAGACAAACACTATTTATTCTTAAGATTGCTTTTAAGGTTTAAAATTATTATATGCATGGTTAAAATGTCGACATCCAAACAAGTGAACGTATAATTGAGGAGTTGTTGCCAGTGACAGTGCGCTCTTGACTCCAATAACAACATTGCCCAGGTGCCAGTTGTACGTTCTGCACGCGCCGCTTAGAACCGTACATAAAGCTAATGATAAATAGCGAAATGTATACCAAGGTTGTTTTGAAAAGAGGTCTCATTCTGATTGTGGTGTTTTTTTTTAAAATAACAGCTTTTAGATCATCGACACCGTTAATAAAAAATGTAAGTACATTTATGCTGTTTGTACTAAAAAAGGAATTTCTGAATAAGGTAGCTACTACATTAACGTCGACATGATAGCGCATAGTTGCGTGGTTTTTCTCATGAATGAAGTTTAGGATATTTTTTTTTAGATTTTTTCTTAGACATTCATGGGATGTATAATGTTATCTTTACTATCTTTACTACTTTATCTATACTAATATTATAAAGAGGAAAGATTTGTTTGTTTGTTTGTATTGAATAGGCTCCGAAACTACTGAACCGATTTAAAGAAATCTTTCACTGTTGGAAAGCTACGCTATCCCCGGGTGACATAGGCTATATTTATTATATTGTGCGCTACTTCCCAAGCGAAGCCGGGGTGGGCCGCTAGTCTCTAATAACTTCGATACACGCAAAAGGAAAGTTATCAAAAAATAAATCTTTTGGGCATGTGTTGTAGCAGCATTTGATATTTCCACTTTCATTTTGTTTCGCTGGTTCTTTTTTTATGATTGAAGGATTACTGGTGGCCCTGAGGCCTTTCCAGTTTCACCAGGACAAGTGCGGTTCCATGGTGTAATAGTTAGCATTCTGGACTCTGGTTCTTTTCTGGACTGTTCTCTTCTTGTAACCGATGGTAGTTTAATTTTACTTTTAATAAGACTTAAATAAATTATTTAAAATGAAATTATTCCTATAAATGGCTTTGATCTGATACATTAAAAAATAGGCTATATTACGTAATAAATTAGTATTTCAGTATCGTGTTGCATGCGTCTGATCTGATTATTTTATATTTTTGGCTTTTTATTTCTAGGTACACAGAGGCGGAATACATTACGAAGGACCACATTGGTCAACGTCAGAGAATGCTCTCTACTGGGTGGACATTCATGGACAGCAAATACTTAAATTGGACGCTGCATCAGGAAACGTAACCAGCAGGGCTATTGGTAAACATTTTTTTAAATCCTAAGCGCTATTTTATCGCTAGTTTTATCGCTATCTTATACCTTTAAACGAGCCATTCTTGTATATTAATATAGATGTATATAATCTGAATCTCGGAAACGGCTCCAACGATTTTCATAAAATTTAGTATATAGGGGACTTCGGGGGCGATAAATCGATCTAGCTACGATTTATTTTTTAGAAAATGTTGTTTTATTCGTGTTTTCAATAATCAACTCTTTCCGACATCTATTGGCAACTAACCGCTTTAAACACACAACAAGATGGCGTTATCAAAAAAAAAAGGTCATCCTCTAGTTTAAAATTAAGATAGCCAATGATTAGGACTAGTCAGTTAAAACGAGTATTTCATATGATTTTTTTACTAATGATTCTACCCCATCTCGGCAGAAATGGACAGGATGGTGTGATACAGCTCAAAGTTAATAAATGATAAGCCTAACACAAAAAACAATCAAATTTAACTTTCATTATGCGATAAAGTTTAATATTTACCGTATAAAAGTATTATGTCACCTTTTTGTTATCATGTTACCTTATATACCTGAAATTAAAGTTCATTGCTCTTTTAAGCTATATTATATGTATACTTTATCAATATTTTTAAGAAACTGTAGAAGGATTTTTAATTAAACCCCTACAAATAAAGCATTAGGTTGTGCTTGGTTTCGAATTTTAATTTCATTTAATGGCCGAATTCTGTTGGTTATGGATAACTTCGTTCGATTTTTGTAATATATTTTTTTTTTTTTTTTTATAAATGATTGTTCACGGTTATTGCAGGCTACGGTCCCGTATCATTAGCGGTGACAGTCAAGGACAATCCCAAGCTTCTGTTGATTTCCGTAAGGTCAGAATTGTATTTGATGCCTTGGGACGCGCCGGCGGGAGACAGTGCTCTGAGGCTCCTAAGCGTTGTAGATTTAGGCTTGCCTGATAATAGATGCAACGATGGAAAAGTTGACGCAAACGGAAGACTTTGGTTCGGTAAGTGAATATTACCATTGTGAAAGTTTAACAATAGCGTATATATCTAATGTGATGAAAATGAAAGTAAAATTATGGTGTTTAGTTGTACCTGTCAGCTGTACATCAGGCAAGTAAATTTATGTGAATAATTTCAGTACATATTAATTACCAAAAATTTAAAATTTAAAATGGCCAGGACCGTGGGTAGTGGTTAATCTTTCTTTCTTTCTAAAATTAAATGTAGTATACAGGGGATTTCGCGGGCGATAAATCGATCTAGCTACGATTTATTTTCAGAAAATGTTGTTTTATTCCCGTTTTCAATAATAAACTTTAACGATAATCCAATTTATGAATCTTCCCGACATCTATTGGCGAATGATAATACTATTTTTTTTCATTGGGAGCAACTAACTGCTTTAAAGACACAATTACACTAAAGTTACTTCAGCAGATGGCGTTGTTAAGCAACCCGAAGCCAGATGAGTGTTTGGTTTAAGGTTAGACCAAGAAAATGAATTGTTTATTTATATTATTTGTGTCTTTTTAACTCACGTGTTCACTTAAAAATGCCTAAACGATCTTGGAATGTAATTCGTATTTAAATATAATTTCTAAAATACATAATTTATCCAAAAAAAAAAAAACAACGAGCCGAGCTCGGTCATCATCTAGTTATTTGATTAAGTTACCAGTACCAAACGATTTAACGCAATTCATATTTCTAGACACGTAAAGAACGAATTCAAAGTAATAAAAGAAATGTTTTCCGGTTCCGGAAAATAGAAAATTATTTCAAATTGTGTAATCCACGTGACGAGACCAAAATCGATTGATTTTCCATTTTCATACTTTATAAATTGTAATCGTCATTACGGCAGTGAAAAATCCTGCAGTGCTTTATGGCGGTAGTTGCATATTTTATTTTCTTTCATTAGGAAAATGAAATGTTCGTTTACAAATTCGGCGATAGATACTAAGCAATAAATTTTTTTAACAGTAACGTGAACATCTAATCAGAATGCGAATGTATTTTTCAATAACTTATTAAAATTATGAAAATCACACTTTTTGAATCGAAGAGTCGTACGCGTTCTACCGCAGGCATCATATCGGATAAACAAACCTGATAGCCGTTTTACTGGCCATTGGTTTGTTTTTAGAAAAAGAAAACGCTCCTAATGTATCGAACAGTAAATATATACATTTAGAGTTAAGGTAGCCATCAACTACAATGCAAGCTGCAAGAAATTGCTCCCTGCCCTCTGCCCAACTAACGGAAATTGTTACCAGCAGTCATGGGATTGCTATGGAGAAACATAATGTAGCTATTTTACCTCGACCTCGATTGGAGAAAGTCACATAATAATCCTCAGGTGAACAATGGAAATGGAAATACTGTTAAGTTCGTCTCAGAGAACTGAAAAAGCAGTACAAATACATATTTTACTTGAGAAATTTCAGGAAAAATAAAAACTTAACCTATTAAAATTATACTAAACAAAAATATTCACTGACAAAATTACATTTACTAATAACAATACTACACACTAAATATAATACACAATAATATGTAATAATAAATTTTCATTTCAAATTTTTAGGTACAATGGGCAAGGAGGTTGGAAATGATGTAGACAAAGATCAAGCAACACTTTATATGTTGGACGAAGGGAATTACTTGCATCCAAGCCACAAAGTTCGTCCAGTGTCTGTGTCCAATGGCATAGCTTGGACATCAGACAATAAATTTATGTTCTACATAGACACACCTACCGGGAATATTGATGTGTTCAATTTTGATCTGGAGGAAGGAACTATTAGTATGTTTCTAATAATTTTCCTTTAAATATTTGATTCTTAATCTTTTACATTATTTGTTTCTATTTTACTATTGGTGATTCTCACTGATATTGGCTTATGACTCACTTGTTGTTAAGCATTTACTATACGCTCATAGTAGGTAGGTTCTTGAGGTTTCAACCTCACATCTGAAGTGAATGGTGGCATTTACATTGTAATATTGCTCTTGTATCCACTGAATACCGGATACAGCCAGGAGCTTGTTAACAAACCTCTCCACTAGTACCGTTTCTGTCCAACTTTTGCTTTTACCAATTCATAAAAAAAATGTTTCCAGGAAACCGAAGAACACTTTTTAGTTTTAAAGCAAATAATGTGACGGGCATGCCTGATGGAATGACTATTGATGATGAAGGCAACTTGTGGGTTGCATGTTTTAATGGTGGAAAGGTATTCAATCTGTAATATTCACTAAGCAATAGTTTAGGTGTATTTTTATTAACCATAATTATAAATTTATATAAATTTTATAACTGCGACTAGCAAATTAATTTTATAATATGAATTAAATTTTGATAATTTCTTTTAGACTTTTATGTCTAAAACTAAAAAAATATCAAAAGTCCCAGTAGTTTTTGTGTAGTTCATGCATAACCGTAGACGGCATATCATTTTAGGTTCAGATTCATGGAGATGGGATTTAAATAGCATGAATGAGTTGAATAGCACCCACCGAGTGTAAGTGGTAGCAAGTTGGCCTAAGCATATATGAGTTTGTATTACTGTCTTGAGGAGGCTCATACCAACCCATTAGCAATAAAATAGGAATTTAGAAAGACCTTAACATAAAAATAAGTTATGAGATTTTCTCTGCCCCAAACTTTAATCCTGGTCTACTGATAATTATGCTCAAACAAAACTACATCATTGCCTCAATTGATAAGCCAGGATCATTGTTGAAGATATCATCGATTCTCACTTATAATATAGTAATTTATAATTATAATATTTGCTGCAGGCAAACTTTTTTAATTAAACTTCATTATTTAAATTTTATTTTTGCTGAGATCCAAAAAAAAAGCTTTAAGCTACTAAATCTACATAGCTTTAGACCTCGAGGGATGAGAGTGATCAAGAAGGACTAACATTTTTCAATTATGACCAGGTAATCAAAATAGATTCTCGAGCAGGAAAACTTTTGGAGCAACATAAGCTACCTGCTCAGAAAGTGACTTCAGTTATGTGGGGAGGTCATGACTTGTCCACCCTGTTTGTGACTACAAGTAGGGTTGGACTAACACCTGTGGAACAAGCTCAACAACCTGAGGCAGGCTCATTATTCGCCATTGAAGGAACAGGGTCAAAAGGCTTACCAGAAAATCAATTTGTCTTTACAGATGCTGCTAATTATTAATGCACAGCTTTATTGAGTTTGACTTGAGAACTTAATGAAAAATTGTTATTTTGTTTACATTTAGTTTGTTAAAATAAATGGCTTGAAATTTTTTTAAGTTTTGTATTCCATTTTAATCTATTTGTTTTAAATATATTTTATACAAAACACTATACTTACTTTTACAATGGCTGAATATTCATATTCCTTGAATTTGCTGCTTTTGAAGCTTTTGTAAATATAAAAATATAACTCTCAAACATAGTAGGATGTAGCTGTTATATTTTAGTTATAAGGTTTGTTTTAACTTTAAATTACAATAATGAGTCATTTCGCATAAGTTTAAATATTTAAACATAATATTATACTATAACTTGTAACCATATCTATTTCAATACTTAGGTGTTGTTTTGATTTTTTAAGCATCATCAGGTTATTGTTTTTGAAAAACATGATGGTTAATTAGTTTTTTTAATAAACTTACTGGAAGCCTCAGGAAGGGTGGATCTGATGCATTCTTGCCTAACTTGCTCTCTTGATATTGAATAAGTTGAACAACAAGTTGGGCTAATCCTTCCTTGGTTGGTGGATCGGTTTGAACATGCTAAAACATTAAAAATGATCACTTGTCAGTCGAATTCAGAACGAAGAGTCCACATTCATAATGTAAATGACAGAATTCTCGTAGCAATTTGTGTCTGTAGTGCTACATTTGCGATGATAGAAACGGCAGAAAAGCAAAATTCACTCAGAAAAGCAAACAAATTTACTAGATAACAATAGTTTCCAAACCTTTTTACAATTTTTTTGTAACCAAACACGAATTAGATCAAACTGAGCAAGTGTTTCAGGTGACTGAAAATACTCAGCATTAGGACCACCATCCTTTTTAGGGCCTATTGTAGTCATGATTTTTTACAATTAACAATTCCACGCTATAAATTAACAACAAATTATACGATTTTTTTCGAAAACACTGATATGTACTCGGCGACGCCGTTTCCAATTTTGACGTTTGGCTTAGTATTGACAAATGACATCCCAACAAACTTGAGTAATTCTATTTTTCCAACTAGAACGGCAAAAGTATTATACCCTACAGCTTAATCTTTTGTGTATTTTTAAGAAAAATGATATGAAGCGAAATAGAATGAAGTTGATTAATTTTGAAACATTAATCAGTTAAAATAAAATAAATGATATGACGATCTCGAGATGCTACGTCCAGCGACTTTGTTTCATTTTCCCACATTTGTGCACTTTCACAGATATTAACTTGTTAATAAGCTACTGTAATTATACATTTAAACCTGAAGAAACACTAAATAGACAAAGTAAAACAATTTTCACAATTTCACTCCTCCTTTCCCGCCAAAAAGACCCAACCAACTTAAATCAACCAATGTTTTGGTTTGATTCGTTCATTAAACAAGCAAAGAGAACACCTATAAGATAACACCAAAAGAATACAATCAAATTTTTGAAAACTTTTTGGCGGGAGCTCGAGGAGCAAAGTTATGTAAATTGTTTTATTTTGATAATTGTGTGTTTCTTCGGGCTTAAACTTGTATTAGTGATGGTTGAATAAACCTTCAATATCTGTAAAAGTGCACAAGTGTGGGTAAATGAAACAAAGTAATGGACGTGGTTTCGTGACTTCGTACAAAAAGTCCACTAAAATCTCACTTTAAATAACCACCATTTTATTGAGCCTTTACTTCATCCTATTTCATTTCGTTACATTTAGTTGATTACCGTCCCAAATAAATCAACTCAATCTTAATTCACTCCATATAATTTCGTAACTGAAGATTTTTATAAGCTCGACATTGAAAACAACGATGACACAAAAAGCCACGGAAAAAAAGGAGAAACTGCTGGCGCTGAATAGAAATAGTAAAAGCGACTACATTTGTTTTAAATGTTCATCTCATCAATACCAAATTTGATCTCATTACAAAATCATTTCAAAAAAGAAAGTTAACAAAGCTAGAGCACTGACTTGTTTACAAATTGGTGGAAAGTGTAAATCCTTCTTTTTGAAGATCTATGCACTAGAGGTAGTGTATTATTGCCCGCTGCGACAAAAGTTTGCAGTTCCGTTTTTTTTTAAATTATTAAATACAGCCATCATTGCCTGAAGAGAAAAACGGAGTTATTGTAATGAGCGATGTCTATTTGGAGGTCTAAATCCCGTAGACAATGATTAATTTCTCTTAAAGTCGTACGTATGTACGTGTATTCACTGTTTCTTCGACGAAAGAATAAAACTTATTTAACGAAATATTTCAAATGAATGACGGAAGCATCATGCGGAAGCTGAACCAATTTGGCAAATTCCTTTACATTTTCCCAACTGTTAGGACAAAGTTTGCATGGATCACTGCATAGTAAATAGATTCAACATTTCCTTTCGGATCCTCCCAATCCACTATCGGTGCTTTTAGGTACCTCAAGCACTATTCTCGTCGAACCTGTTGCTTGTGACGAAGGGCTCGGCGAGCAAATGAAGTCACAGACACAACCCACTGAGTTTCGCGCCGGATCTTCTCAGTGGGTCTCGTTAAGTCGCGTTTCCGCTCCGGTGGTCTTGCCCGCGCTAGTGTTAGCAGCGTCCGAGTTTAGAGCTCACCTACTTCAGTGAATCTAACATGACCTTTAGAGGTCACTAGAATAGGTAGGAAAAATAATAATTGATGATCCGCTTTCATTAGCTATCCAATGTAAATCTCTCAACAATATGCGTTGCACTTTTAATATTGGTATAGCCATTATTTATAATACAACTGAGCCAACGATTTATTGTCTAGAAGGAGCGGCGATATTCAAATTGCAATAGATCGTAATGGATCGTGAGCGTACGCTCCAAACTAAAAGAACAACTATCTCTGAATACAGTCACTGTTATCACTGTCATCACTAATTGTCTCCACTCAGAATTCACCAACCCTAAAATAGACCAGGTACGATACGTTTATTCTACGAATGTATTTTAAAAAATAAAAATAAAAAATTCACATACAACAGATATTTTACTGCAGTAACATCATTAACATTCATCTAAAATTATTTCAAAGCCTGGTTTGTTACTCTACTAAGCATAACAACAACAACAAATGGAATTCAATGATTTTAGAACATCGAAACATTTTACGTTAAAGATTTATTTTGACACACGTTTTAAAGGTTTTACAATCACACACTTATTTGACAAATATTACTGTCTTAAATACAAGTACCTACAGAAAATATTATGTTTGGGTAGAGCGATTGTGAAAAAACTTTTCATTAAAATAACATAGCCGTGTTATTTGTAGGCTTTATTTAAGATGCAATCAACACATAATTGTGCAGCTGCTGTTTGGAGGTTTTATGTGATGTTATAATATGCATATAAATGTATTCAATTAATTCTTGTTTAGTAATTATGAAACAAAAAAGAAATTCTAATCCACTCCGTATATATTTAATTGACACGATATCCATATAGCATAATTTGATCTTTATTAATTTAAGCATAACTTAATAATAAAAGGTTATGTCGCAGAGGATAGGGACGGCAGGTAAAGCGTGCGTTTGAAAATTACGTAAGAAGTTTATAGCACATCTTTTAATTTTCTTTAAAGTGTTTCAAAATAATTTAATTATTCGACCAACATAACGATGTTATTACATTCCAAACAACAAGAAGTTTAATTAGATTAAAATTATTCTCTATGACCTTTAAATTTCCAAAATTATTCCTTGTTGCTCACAAACTAATAAATGTTAGGAAAAAAAAGACAAAATTAATAATATTCTCAAACTTTAAATACCTATACGTCGTCAAATGTTATTGATATTAATTGTGTAAAATATATAACATTTGGGAGGTTATGAACACATTTGATACTAGCGAAACTAAAATAATTTGTAATTGTCTTGAAAAACTTTTATGAAGTAGAGTTACATAACTACACATTTTCTAGTTAAATTTTATATGAATCACTCCATGTTAGTATCACAAATTAATCCTTAAACTATAAGAAAACTGAAAAAAAAAGCAATTTTGAAACATTAATTTTCACTATCTACAAATTGACCTTTTTTATAATAGTACAACATTTATAGATATATTTTATCATAACAATAGGTAAGTATACTTAATAAGTAAGTATATTTCTATATAATAATGTTTCATTACATATTTATTGTCATCATAGTAATTCAATTACATTGTTTTCTTATAAGCCAAATACATTGAAATTATGAAACAAAACAGCATTTCAATAATTAAATGCAGAAATAATCTGAGAGACTAGCAAATAAATAGATGTACGTGCTACATAACATTTTCTTGTCCATATTTGTTTAAATAATAAACTTACGAACACAAGTGTCATTTTTTTTTATTTAAATAAAGTAGTCATGAGTCATTTCTTAAAATATTATATCAATAACGAAAAACAACATTATAAAAGTACATTTATAATAAACGTATTAGAAATAAAATAAATTATAAGAAATATCACTTAGCATTTTTTTGGAGTACTTAAAACAAAAAAATAATAACAATTAGTTGAGCTAAAATAACGTTTGTAAGCTTACTTCAATTTTTTTTACAAATAATGTCTTTATTTAAACAATACATAAATATACAATCAAATTAACATCTTTGCAGTTAAAATTCATTTTTTTTCTTTTGTAAACTTCAAACACTTTAAATAATGATGTTTTATAATGAGACAATGTAGTTTGAATAAATGAGTATTTTCCCTCGGAAGTTAAGTACTTCGCTATTTCACTATCTAACCATTACCTATTTATTCAATATCAATGAATAATATTATGAATAACATAACATAAAATAGTGTTTTTTTTTTAAATTTAATTCATATAACTCCAGGATTTCATGATTCAGGTTCAAAAAAAATCTTCTGCAGTGTTGCCAATGTAACAAAAAAAAGCCATATTGCAAACATCAGCAACTTAAAACACGATAGGAACTCAAAATGGCCACTTGAGAGTTGGAACTTTTTACTTGAGACCGAGCAGATATTCGGCGATCCCAACGTAATACACAGCCTGAGCGATACCGAACAGCGGGGCGATCACAATCATACGGCAAGCGCCGCCTTTGAAAAAGGCAGTCGGACCTTCGTATTTCAAAGTTTTCCTAAAAAAAAAAGAGGCCATTATACAGGATGAATATTGAAAGAGTGCATATGTGTGCAAGTTTAACCCTTTTAACTCTAAAATTAAAACCTTTTTCAAATCAGATTAACGCGAAAGTAATTTTAAAAGTCTACTAATTCTAAAGACATTTCAGTTGGCATTTTAATTAAAGAAAAAAGATTTTAATATTCGTTTTAATTGAATAATTTTAATTAATTATTACATGATAATTTGTACTAAAATATTGTTATCAGGTAAAGTTCTTTGCGAATTTTGTTTAATGTCAAATTTTAGTAGCCGAACCTCAATTGATGTGTTAATTTTTTTTTACTTAGAAATAGCATTAAAATCAGCTTTCAGATAAATTATGATTTTTTGAACAGGGTTTTTTTCTAAATCTATGAACACTCATCGAAATATATTTTAAATTCATCGTAAAATTATAAACGCAATTAGCAACAGAAAACATGACGTTCGGAAATTTAATAAGTCTAGTTCTACCTTACATAAAAATAATTTATTTCAGTTCACTCATTCTTAAAAATAACATGCAATATTTTTCTCATATTCTTTTTCCGTTATATACTGCTCTGTTTTAAAGTACATTGTATTTCATTAAGCACAGCAGTCAGCCATTCAGTCAGAAAAACAAATTGTTAGGCATTAGCATTTCATTTGTGACTTTGTTTTTCAAATTCCTTACTCATAAAAAAGACTCTCTTACTGGAAACCAGCATATTAATAACAAGTAGTTTACCCAGTAGTCGAAATTCGACTATAATTAATTGAAATTATAAGTTTCAACATTATTATGGTTCTATTGTTACAGATTTCGCCAAGTTTACACTATAGAGTATAGACAAATACTCGTAATATTAAAGATAAACAATATTAACCTATTCTCAATTTGACTACAGACTTTAAAGTTTTAGACAATAAACAAAGAGTATATGTGTGTGTCCAATACATGGTAGTGTGTTATGTTTGCTTTATTGATTTAATGTATTTTTAATCCTTACATTTTTAAAAAATATTAGCATTCTGCACTTCTCTATATTCTCTATAAGTGTGAAAAATTTCATACTCCTCCGTCCGCATATTTTGTAAACGGGTAGGTACAACGTTTTTGCTTCACGTATTAATATATAGATAAATAAGAATGAACTTACGTAACACAATCCATGATGGAGGTGTATTGCCTCTCTCCGCTTCCCTTGGTGAGGGTCTGCATGCGAGTCTTCACCACGTCCATGGGGTTTACAGCTAACGCTGCTGTGGAGCCAGCAGCACAACCTGATATGAACGACCACCTGAAAAACATTCGTTGTTGAAAAAATCTGTTTATTTATAAAGATCAGTGTTTAGTTATTACTTTTTTTTTTGACAAGCTTCTATTACCTTCGTTTGTATGTATCGGAATCCTTATACATACGTTATTTGCACCGACTTCAATACGTGCAATTAACTTGAAAATTTGCACACATATCAAAAACCGATGACAATACAATAATCACTATAATATTCTGAATGGTATCAACAGCACAATAAAAACAATTTAATTAATTGTGGCTTCGGGTTTTTGTACCTACAAGATTTTTTTATTTAAATTTTAAACTACAATATTTTTATTACTATTAAACCTTTGAAAAAAACAAAACTATTTTCAAAACATTTTAAATTTTTATATAGAAATTCTTGTCAAAAGATACTAACAAATTGTTTGACAAATTGAGGAGAAAGTGGTATTAATTGTTTTGTATTTACCTATTTTTATTAATAAGATGACCGAAGAACTCACGGCTCACTTTAGTGATTATCAGAACCATTTAGGTATTTTTATTTTGGTATCTTCTATATTTTGGTATAAATTATCTCTTATAATGGTATTTCCCAGTGCTAACAATGTTTATTTTGGTATCTATATTTTGGTACCAATTATTTCTATAATGGTATTTCCCAATGCTAACAAATTTGTCTACAAATTATAAGCGTTTTTGAATGTCTAATACTCACCAGAACGGTGTATGACCGCCGGGCCCCTCCTTAGGTCCGAGGTCGTTGAGGGTCGCGAACAACGGAAAGTACACAACGCTGAAGGACACGTCCCGGGCGGCCGTCGCCGTCACTCCCTTGTACAGGCCGAATATACCGCGTTCGCGTAGCAACTTCTTCGTCAGCTCTAGAGCCGTGGTGCGCTGTATCGTGCGGCCCTCTACAACATAGCATTACTGGAAGTTCGATGCGCTGTGACCAGATACAGAGAGTCATGAGTCTGTATAAAGGCTGGGTGTTAACGTCACACGAGATTTATCTGTGTATGTTACAATAGGTTTAACACCAGGGTCTCGCATAATCATTTCCACCATAATTAATTATGCACAAAAAACTTCGTTGCGATGCATCATGAAATAGTGTTACGCCGGTAAAAGTAACACGCCATCTGTCGTCGAACTTAGAGGTCGTAGGCATAGATCATATTAATGAACAAGAGACTTATGAGCATTGGTTATAGTTGATGGAAGACGACCGAAGGGTCGAAGCTAATAAAAGATGCATTGATCAACTGTCCGATCACCTGGACGCGACGCACTTTACTGTGCCAACTAACCAACATATGTGGCTACAAATCACCAGAAAAGGTGCATCATGGTTCTCGGTAATGAGCGATCGATTGGTAGACGAGGATCCATGAGCATATAATATATGACGCCAAATTTATATTATACCTGCTTTGGCTTGAGCGGCAATCCTTCCAGCGTCCTGCATCTGAATTTTGAGGAGTTCCATTGGCGTGGTTATCACGATTTGGCAAGCTCCCGCCAAGCCACCGGCAACCATCTGACGGAATACTGGCAATGACCTAAATTGAAAAACAACGGTCTATTAATATACCTATACTAGCTGTACCCGTCCGCTTCGCTGGGCATTTAAAATTAACATTATTATTTCTCACCCCCACAAAGATTCTCATTATTAACACCCCCGCAACTGGTGTAGAGAATCCAACACTCATATAAATATTAGCCTATCCATTAAGTATATGTATTTTCTACACGAATACCAAGTTTCAAGTCAATCGGTTGCATGGTTCAGTAGTTTTAACTGAACATCCGTAAAAACCACTGTAGATTTATATATTAATATAGAGTATAGATATAGATTAGTAAAGATTATACATAAGAATGTGTATGTCCAATTTAAAATCACATTTTTAAGTAATGCTGCTACATCTCTTTATTGATACGTCACAGTTTTACTTATATCTATTATTTTATTGCAGAGCTAATAATGTTTAGAACGTGCAGTCGATTTCGATCGAGAACAGGTTTTATTTAGCCATTCGTAACCATGTAAATTATAAAATATCTTTTTAATAAAGTATGTAAATGAGAGAGTTTAACGATATGTAAGTAAATAAATAGAAATTATACTGACACATAGGTAACTGTCGAAAATCGCAGTATACTTAAAATGTAATAAATGTATTTTTTTGGCAAAGTGAGTCTTAATTGTTGTCACTATGGAAAGAAATGATAATGATGAAGAGAATGGCATCATCAACGCTGACGTCATCATTTTAAAAACACCATGGATCCAGCCAACTCCGTCACATATATTTTTTTACAAATTTGGAATCATTAATAATCCACAAAACTATGAATTCCGTAAATTTTCAACATCATCATTTTAAAAAGAAATCAGGTCATCGACACCTGTTTTTATCAATTCATATGTTGTAACAAATAATCTGTGTTAAAATTGAAATGTATACGTAATTTAATCAATGACAATTAAGATAGATAACCGTAAATATAAAAATGATTATTATTTAGGTGTTTTTAGCGTATCGTCTTATGTTAAGAGGTTATCGAAACCCACAACGATACTAGATCGAAGTTTCACTTGAACGGGGATATCACGTATATCTGACGTAAACGCGTGATTACATCAACGTTAAGATGGAAAGAACTATGGAGAACATCAGTCTACTTAGATTTTAGGGCTTGGAATAATACCCGACACTACGAATCTTAAAAACTTTTCAATTTCCCTGCTCTCTACTATTCATATCCAAACACCGCCTGAACCAGCAAAAGCGTTTTATTTTTTATTTTTTAATGCATAGATGGGTGGATGAGCTCACAACCCACCTAGTGTTAAGTGGTTACCGGAGCCCATAGACATCTATAACGAATGCCGCCACCCACCTTGAGATATGAGTTCTAAGCTTTCAGTATAGTACAACGACTGCCCCGCCCTTCAAACCGCAACGCATTACTGTTTCACGACTGAAATAGGCAGGGTGGTGGTACCTACCCGTGCGGACTCACAAGACGTTCTGCCACCAGTAATTACGTAAATTATAATTGATAAGAAGAGTTTGGTGATAAGAGTCGAGAGAGAGTAAAATAACACTTAGCCAAGATGTTTATTCTTTTTCTTGCACTGAAATGTTCACACGCACAAAGTACATGACAATGTTCACTTCTTTTATTAAGAATTGGCGTGTTGCGTCGTCCGCCAGGTACAATTTACACAGGTGCTGAAATTATCATTGAGGAACCCAAGCAAACGTATTAGCTGACTTCCGCAAAGCCTTGCCTTTATTTGTACTAATTTCACTCAAAAACCACCACCACTCAAGCTAGGACTTAGGCAGTACTCTTCTGTGTGCCATACCTAAGGGAGTAAGGGAATATTAAGAATTCTACCGAGGTAATATCGAGAATTGACACTAAAAACAAGTCGAATTAACCGGAGCAGCACGTGGATATCTTCACTAGCATCACTACCGCGGTTTTGACTGTCGAACAAAAAAATATATGATAAGAATGATTAATTTTACCCGTCAGATAAAGTGAGGTAGTGTCGGAACATGTCGTTTGCGGCGAGTTTGATCGCTTTCTCGGGCGTTATCAATATAATGTTCACGGCTGAGCCGCGATACATTCCGAAGTAGCCCTCCGCTGCGTATGTCTTCTTGAAGCAATCCAACCTGTGGATAGGGAAAAGGCTGTAGAGCATATTAATAATAAAACACCTTTCGAGGGGTAATTAATACCACAGACACCTGAAGAAATAAAAAGAATAATAGCTTTACTTTATGCGAGGAATCATATTTGGTTCCTGGTTAAAGTTGGCGGGTTCTTCGGTGGTAAGTCACAGCATGTGCTAACAAAATATATGCTTAAATTCAATTCGTCAAAAATTTACAAAACTCTTCCAACTACATCAACCTGTGTAACACAAAGTAATACCTAAATAGCAGTACGTGAGGCCATAACTGATTGTGTAAGGTTCACGAATTATCATCAGAATGATATTTATTTTCTCATTTGCATAGTTTTTCTGTATTAACTTTTTTAATTTCGTTGGTTGGTTGATCGAGCTTATGAATTACCTAATGTACTATAATGTTACCGGAGCCTACATCACAATCATCACAATCACGGATCATGCCTACATCACAATGTCAATAATACCACCTACCTTTTGACATGAGGTCGAGATCTCAATTGTATTGTGTTCACTGTACCGTCTTCCTAGATAAGTAGATAATTAACTGAACTTTAGTTCCAGTCCATTAGGAACATTTTTAAAAGATAAATTTAAATCAAATATTTCCTTCCATTGACAAACATAAAATCTGTCCTTAGGCAAACAATATCTCTGCTAATATAAGAAATGAACTAATTCGAGAATTTATCTGTTACATATAGACAAAAAAATGTATACCTATCGGCCTTTGTTATTAGTGTAGGGAAAAAATTAACAGTTAACGGTTTTTTGTTAAAAAAATACACACAAGTCTAAAAGTTATCTAGTCCGGCGTAATTTATGAGCTTTACTAAATGGTCAATATTTTTTTTTTGCCCTTTTATATATATATTTATGGTGTTATTATGGTATATATGGTGGTTAAGGTGGTTAAGGTGTAATATAGCTTTTGTTTTGTGACAAATTTCCCGACGGGTTTTAAAGATACCTATGATTGATTTTTCGGTTTAAATCTACATTCTCTTAAGAAAGATACGTTCAAATGAAAAACAACGTAACTCGCATATTCTATTCAATGAATTTACGGTTTTCAATATCTGAGACGAAGATTCATTTTCATGCCTAATCTACTGCTAAATGTAGTTTTATTTTCCAAGCCTAGGTTATAGATACATACGTCTACAATGTTTACGGAATACATTATTATTCAAATTCGAAATGTAGAAATGACCGGTTATGATTGATTGATTGATTGTCAAGGTTGAGCACGTGCAAGAAAATTTGACGAGTATAATTTATAATAATATAAATGATTGTGTTGCTATGGTAATAGACGATTGAACGTAATATTTAATGATTAGAAAAATACTAGCTCTAAATTTTTTCTGTGATTGAAATTGTCTTTATTACGGCCTTATTCTCTTCTTAAAAACAAAGAAGCGTTGCCGTTGACTTTTTTTTTAAATTGTATTTACATATTCCTACACTTGGCAGACGAGTTTACCGCCTTGAGAATAGGTTTTTATTATAACTTTAGTTTAGTTAGTTTTTATTTTTGATTGCTTAGATGTGTGGACGAGCTCACAGAATAATAATGTCCGCACGGGTAGGTACCACCACCCCGCCTATTTCTGCCGTGAAGCAGTAATGCGTTTCGGTTTGAAGGGTGGGGCAGCCATTATAACTATACTGAGACTTTAGAACTCATATCTCAAGGTGGGTGGCGGCATTCATGTTGTAGATGTCTCTGGGCTTCAGTAACCACATAACACAAGGTGGGCTGTGAGCGAGTCCACCCATCTAAGCAAAAAAAAAACTTCAAGAATGACATACTAAGATGTCATGTATACTTATATTGAGACAAATCAAGGAAACGTTTTTTTGGACGGTACTGTGTTGTTCCGATTGGCCTCTTTTATTTCTATCTCGTTTATGATCAGTCACACTTAGGTAACGAGCCATGATGGTTTAGTTCAGATTAAATATAGACAGCGCACTCCATCACTTCAAAGAAGAAAAAACTTACATGCTCTTATATTGCTTCTCTCCGCTGGGTCCCACTGTTTGATTCTGTAAGCGTGTCTTGACCAGATCGAGCGGAAACACGACCGACACCCCGACAATACCCGCGATACCGCCATTGATGATCTTCGGTACTAATCTGAAACAAATATATTTCTGTTTGTTATACATGAACAGCCACACCTAGATTGTTAAGTCTAGCATTTTCATTATTTTTCCAATAGAAAATTTCGTGAGCAATTTCTGTCCATGTATTCCCAGTTTAAAGTGTCACACACACTAGCAAGACTAATGTGCACTGGTCTTAAGACGAAGTTTCGTTCGTAATATAATTCCGTGAGCATACTCCACAACTCTTGAATAATGGGCTCCATTTTTTCTATACTAATTGTAAGATAATGGCATAAAACATGGATTCCATATCTCCCTTTATTTTAAATATATAATTGACTATCTATCAACTACTACTTTACTTGTAGTTGTCAATTTCAAAAATATATCTATCTAAATAGGACAGGTGGGCTAACGACCCACTTAGTGTTAAGAGGTGAAATTTTATAAATAGCACCACCTCTATAAGATGCGACCAAAAAAATTGGCATGTGGTTCTTACTATGTTAAGGAAATTTATCTGAATATTTCCCACTTCAAAGATATCTTTATCTAAAACCAATACAAAATAAGCAATCAATAATCTCACAATATAATGTGTCTATCTTATCTTATAGTCAAATAAAAAGTTATGAAAACTGTTGCCATGTAATTAAAATTTTAATGTGTTTTTATTTTCTTGTAGTGTCTAATTTGTATCTGAAAAATGTATATAGGAAAATAACTAATTAATGTGGACAATACTGAGATTGCTTAAAAGTGTTGTGTAATGTGTCCATATCTGATCAAAATAAATACCAGAAGTATACGTAAACATGTTAACATCCAAAGCTTTAAGTTTTAAAATTCGCTGAAATCTATACTAATATATAAATCTACAGTGGTTTCTATGGATGTTCTGTTATAATTACTGAACCATGCATCCTATTGACTTAAAACTTAGTATCCATGTAGAAAATACATGTACTTAATGGATAGGCTAATATTGATATGTGTACTTAATGGATAGGCTAATACTGAGTGTTGGACTCCCTACATGAGTTGTGGGGCATTAATGATGAGAATCTTTGTGGGGGTGAGAAATACTAATGTTAATTTTAAATGCCCAGTGAAGCTGATGGGCACAGCTAGTCTATTCATAAAATTTATCAGGATTAGTGTCAAATTCTTGTGAACTTACAGAAAAAAGTCTTCTATGTAGTGGTTACCAAAGCCCAAAGACATATAATCACTACAGGTATGTACTACCATTGCAGGTATTTCTATCATAAACAAGTTGTGCATTCTAATAGAGGGACAGCCAACATACAATACAGCTAAGAAATCAACTGTTTGTCTCAAAGTATGTATAAAGCATATTACCTTTAAGCATTTAACACCAGACGAGCCATGAGTTTCTCAACTTATCTAAGCAGTACAAAGTGCACCTTCTCATCATTAAATAGTGTGACTTTTCAATTTTGTCTCAAATTTCTTCAATAACATTAATAAATTTAAGTAGCCTATTTCAATTGTTGACGGTAAATTGCACTTTATTGTGCTACACAATGGTCTTCATTAAACACAATTAAGCTACTTCCTGATTAAACATTGTGGTATTTAATTCATAATTATTGACGTGCCAGAAGAGTTTTTGCTGATACAACAATTATTTTGTATTAACGTGTGTGAAGCTTGTATTTTTAAGCGAATAAAATGATTAATTAAAATGAATGTATGTTAATTATTGTCATATTGTAATGAATGGTTATAATGTTAATTAAAACAAATGTACAGTATGCTTAAAATCTATTATTTTGTCTTATTATGAACATTAACAAGGTTAACATTACTTTAATTAACTGAAAGAAGTAGAGGTAAACTATTCAAAATCAGAATATTTATTATGGAATAAGCACAAGATTGAAAACTGAAAGACATTTTATAGAATTGTTATGCCTACAACTTGACAAAATAAAAAAAATAAAAAACTTACGAAAATTGCTGAGGAGGTGGATTCACTGGTTTCATGTTTGCACTCATGGTTGATTTTTATCTGTAATTTTTTTTAATATTCCTATGATTTTACTACATAAGAGTTCTAGCTTGGCTTATTTTGTTAGCAGGCATTTTAAGTAAATGCCTCCTATATAATAATATTCCTTTACATAGATATTCCTAAATATTCTTTGGAATATTCCTTTGGTATGGTTCAAAAAAGTTAACCGCTAAGTAATATATTTTTATAGATAAGCATAAAGTACAGAAGGTAAGGACAATATTAACGATTTACGGGCACAGTACGTTATTAAATTCAATATTTTAAAAGTAAAATTTAGGTTTTGATGTAAAAAATAAATCTAAATTTTTACGTAACAGATTTTTGTTACCTTGTAATTTAGAATTCCAAAAAATATTTTTTCAAGACGGTACAATTGTATTTTTGTAGTTTTTAGGAAAACATTTTAATACTTTGAAGGTAAATTATTCGGAAAAACCTGAAATATGTTACTGAAAAGCCGATCTTTTAGCGAAATGAAAATGAATGGCAATCATACACATGCGTCAGTGTCAAAGTGTCAGAAGCTAAACAAAATACTCTGATGATACTCTGTGGTGTTAGAGTCGGTACCGACTTAAGTGTATAATCTATGGTACCAACCAATAGTGGTGTATTTTCTATAAAATTTTACATTAATTAATACACAATATTTCAGATATGAATGAATATTCACTGCAAGTTATCAATCGATTTGTAGCGGCTATTGATTATGAATAGCGTTCTGGCAAAGTTAACTAATTCACAATTTAAAATAAAAAGATGAGAATTTACAAAACTTTTGTAATTGTTAGAGTACCTACCTAGCTCGAGAGCTACTATTTTATTAATGATAACATTATGTACCTGTAACATTTTTCTTTCATATGATTTATTTTATACTTTTAAGAACTAATATTTTAAATTTAATTGCATAGATAGGTGAACAATCTAACGGCCCAACAGATGTTTAGTGGTCACTGGAACCTGGACATCTATAGCGTGAATGCCACCATCGACCATTGACAAGAAGTCAAAGTCTGAATTGCATAGTATAAAGCTAGTAAAATACGAACACACGATAATTTCGTTGCGCATATAATCAGATTGGTGTAACCCACCCGTATCAGATACATGCATTTCCACCATTTAATACGAAAAGCTGTGACTGACTCAGGCGGAAATATAAGACGATGCCCTGTTGCCTGGGTCGGATATGTAATTAGCGGCGACCATAAGAGGGTTGTTGTGTCGCGCCGCTTTGTTGAAGTAGCGCTCCGACGCTACCGTAATATAGTTACTTATAGATTCTAAATTTAGATCGTCCAAGTTTCGTGAAGGTCGAAATTCCTCACATACCGTGGTGCTCTGATGGCTATCCTGCAGAAACAGATTTGGGTGAGCTGGAGAGAGTGGATTTGCATGCCGGCCGCGTGAGTGAACACTACAATTGCATAGGTCATGATTTTATGAAAACTAGTTGACTTTGTCTTGTTTGAGTTTTGAAGTCATCGTGGCCTGAAGGATAAGACGTCCGGTGCATTCGTATGAAGCGATGCACCGGTGTTCGAATCCCGCAGGCGGGTACCAATTTTTCTAATGAAATACATACTCAACAAATGTTCACGATTGACTTCCACGGTGAAGGAATAACATTGTGTAATAAAAATCAAACCCGCAAAATTATAATTTACGTAATCACTGGTGGTAAGACCTCTTGGGAGTCCACACGGGTAGGTACCACCAGCCCGCCTATTTCCACCGTGAAGCAGTAATGCGTTTTGGTTCGAAGGGTGGGGTAGCCGTTGTAACTATACTGAGACCTTAGAACTTATATCTCGAGGTGGGTGGCGCATTTACGTTGTAGATGTCTATGGGCTCCAGTAACCACTTAACATCAGGTGGGCTGTGAGCTCGTACATCCATCTAAGCAATAAATAAAAAAAAGATCAAACTTTTAATGAAAAAGACATTATAAACAAAGAATCACTTTTACCTTGACCAGGAATAGAAAGGTGGGCGTCTTTTCATTCTCGGGTAATTGCGTGATCAGTAACAGGGCGAACCCTTTCTTTAAAATCGTTCTTCCTTGTCGAACAATATAAAAGCTTTGATATATTTTCATCCATCACATTCGTCCCTACTACGAACTCAACAACACACGATGCATCTCAATTTGGTGAGAAAACAAAACTTTTAATACCGTGCGTACCTACTGAATATCTTTTTCTCTATTTCGCTATCCATCGCTACTGCGACCCATAGTCAGACAAGGTGAATTGCGTCACTCAGCTTGAGGTGTGAGATTAAAGTCTCAGTACTATGAAGAAGAGATTTACAGATAGTAGCTTCCAATGTCATACGTATATTCCTCGAAATTTATCGACATTTCGCAATTTACTTGTTTCCGTAAAAATATACTTAATTATAATTTTATAATTAATAAACTAATAAACTTAATTAATAAACTTAAATAACTTACTAACGAATGATTAAATCACATCTAGGTAACGCTTGCTTTTATTGTGGCGCTAGTCGTGGCCACAAAACCCAATAAAAGGAGCTTAGTCAATCCAGAATTGTATGGATGGCCAGGCTCCGCCGGTTGGCTGCAAATTCCTCATGGTATGTATCCTGTTAAGCATATCAATTACATATAATGAAGAAGCTTTTAATAATTCACTGCAACAAACACTACAAATTCTTTTTATAGGCTTTTGTAGGCAGACGAGCATACGGCTCAACTGATGTTGAGTAGTTACCGTCGTTAATGTTATCAACCTTAATACAAGGGCATGGGCAAGCCATTACCGAAGAAGCTAAACAGTAAATATGTTCATTTTGGTAAATAGGATAAAATAGGGAATTTCCTACAGGCTGGTCGTCGGATACAAATTCTGATGTCGCTGGTGCTATAGCCGCAGCCAAATCTGCAGCTGCGGCGGTGATGTCAGCGCAACACGAGGTTGCCGCCGCTAAGCATGCTGCTCTTCAACACCAGAGTCTCGCCAGCGCAAAAGAAGCAACTGCAGCGCACGCCGCTCACAAGAGGTCAGGGAAGTAACCAGATTGCTCTAACACTATAAAACGTGTTAGACGCTGGCTTGTGTTTGAAGTACATTTTTTTGTACTGCGTGACGTACAAATAAACAGTTCTTTCGAAATATAATATACAAATGCGAAACTGGTGGTAAGACCTCTTGAGAGTCCGCACGGGTAGGTAAGTACCACCACCCTGCCTATTTCTGTCGTGAAGCAGTAATGCGTTTCGGTTTGAAGGGTGGGGCAGCCGTTGTAACTATACTTGAGACCTTAGAACTTATATCTTAAGGTGGGTGACGCATTTACGTTGTAGATGTCTATGGGCTCCAATAACCACTTAACACCAGGTCACAACCCACCTGGGCTGTGAGATCGTCCACTCATTTAAGCAATAAAAAAAAAAAAAAATACATAGAATAATGGTATGGAAAAGTTCGTATGTATGTTTCGTTTAACAGGATAGATTTTTTTTTACCCATCAACAAAATGTCTGATCTGAAATGTCTGTCTTCGTTTTATATTTTTATTAAATAACTACATTACAGAACAATAATAACTGCTTACATAACATTCTAAATAGTGAGGAAGCAGCTAGAAACGCTCGTGCCCATGCATTGGAAGCAGCACAAGCCGCGGTTCACTCACAAGCACAGCTCGCCGCGGCAAAGGCAAGAGCTGCTGTCGCGCAGAAGATTGCCGCAGCCAGGGAAGCCGCTGCTGCCAAAGCTATAGAAAGAGCTGCTAGTAATCAGGCTGCTAGATTACAGAACGCAGGTAATAAATAGTGAGTCACTAATTGTGAGTTGATTATTTTCTTTAAATTAAACACCGACACTGTGTTATGGTAGGCAGCGGCTTGGCTCTGCCCCTGGCATTGCTGACGTCCATGAGCGACGTTGACCACTTACCATCAGGTGGGCCGTATGCTCGTCTGCCTCCTCCTCCTCGCGTCCTTTCCTCACTGCTGAGGGTCGTGACCATTATAATTCGACATGATTTTACTCCTTGTGATGTCCCGCCAGCGCCTCCGATCATTGGCCGCATGAAGTCTCCTCTGCCTACAAAGGCAATAAAAAAAAAACCTCAAGATTTACGTAATTCGTTTTACTCTTCTGTTTTTTCACGTTTTGCTGAAAACACTTACGACATTTGCAAAATTTTTATCGATAACACTCATTAATAGCTACGAAATCCTTCATAGCTGTTTTGTCGTTGTCTAGTTCGATTACATTGGTTTTTATATTGAAGTCGTTTACGATAAACCCACACTAGACATGATGACGGTACACACGAGCGAGTTAACACAACAAACGATAGCGTTTTTTTTCTTTTCCTACCTATGCTGATATCCTTTGGAGGCTATATCAGCTTTACCCTAGCGTGTAGATGAGCTCTCGGGGCTCAAACCGGAGGCGTTGCTAACACTGGCCCTAGCAAGAGCCGTGCTTCGCAAAATCTACCACCGAATCGCAAACGCGACCCACTGAGAAGATCCGGCGAGAAACTCATTGGGCTGTGTCTATGGATTAATTTACTCGCCGAGACCTACGTCGCAAGCGACGGGTTCGGCGGTGATTGAGGTACCTAAAAGCACCGTTAATGGATCGGTAGAATCCGTAATGACGTGTTTAGGGTCGCACGTTTGTAATGGCCCAAGTATAGTACGATGCGCTCTACGTGCACTGCAGCGGCGTGGCGGGACCGCGCCCGGCCTACGGGTCCTATTAACTTGGGTTTATTGAACACTGTATTGTGTTTAATTTCGACGTACAGTGAGCAAGAGAAGTCTAAAATCTATGCAAATGAATAAATTTCAATGTAAATTGGATTTGAGGACAGTGACCGTTGTAATTAGCGTTTAATTTAGGGTAACCACATACAATTTTTTTACAGATATAGAAAACTTAAAGCTGTCAGTTATACAAAGTTCCGGGGCAGCTGGTGCGGCTACTGCAGCACAGCACACAGCCACTGCTGCTGCTGCAGCGCTGCGTACACCTGCATCCGATTGGCCTGTGAAACTCTGGTCTCCTTCTAGCGGACCGTGGGCGTGGGCTTAAAATTAACAACATAATAACATCGCTATAAATGATGAAATTGAATTTTCGATAATAAAAATATATTTTAGTTACTTTTCTGTAAACGAATAAGATCACATTTTTATCTATTAAGAAAATGTATTTTGTATTGTCATTTTAATTTTTAAATAAAATAGAAAAAAACATTGCGTACTTTCAAATTATTTTCTGATAATTATTATCTTACCTTACCTTAGCCTCTTCGAACTTCTGCGTCCTCAGATAAAATACCCTTCCGTTATTTTATTACTAGATTTCCGTAATCCTCAATGGTCTTCCTACGTAGGTATATTGAAAAGCAGTGGTGAGCGATGTCGGCAGGACGGATGCATGCCGTTTTCGGGAACAAAGTAATGGGATTGGATTATTGATTAAATGTAAAATTAGACTACAATGCCATTATTTTTATTTATTCATAGGCAAATGAGCTTGAGATCACATATGATTTTCGGAACTCGTACAAGTCGACAATTCTCTTTTTAAAACGACGATTGATGAAATACATTCTGATAACCCTGGGGAAATGCGGCTGGAAACGCAGAAGAGATGAATACAGTGATTTCAGATAAATATTACTTAGCAACACACACTGCCCCAGTGGCGGTTGGCATGCTATGTACCTACCTACTATAATACAAATATTATAAACAATAATACATTTTGTTGTCATGTAAAGCCGTTGTCTTTAATTAAATATTGAGACAGTTAATTAATGTCTCCGGATTAGCGGGCTTAATTCAATTATATACTTTGCAATCATATTCATCTAACATAGGTACAAAATAAGGATGTCAGAGTAAACCATTTTTTTCGAAAACTTGATGTTTTAAAACCGAAAAAGAAAGTTCAGAAACGACCGCCAGAAACCTTCTAAGCTGGTCGTGAGTGTGACCCAAAAACATTAATAAAAGTTAGATAATGATTTAGGTCGTCACAGATATATGTATGGCTGAGGGTGCAATAGATATGGGTTTGCTTCCAGATGTCATTTATACCATTTTAAAGATACTCAATTAAGCCATTTAGAACGGCTAACTTGAGTGAAATTTTGATGAGTGTTTTATAAACAACAAAAATATAATTTTAGAAACGTCACAATTGAATTTGATGCTTATAAAAATTAAATTGAATTTGAAGTAAACTATATAATAGAAAATGTTCTTGGTCTAATTAGTTCTAGCTTAAAAATATAAAGGAGTAGTAGGTATGCCACAATTCTACACTCATTTTCACTTATATAACGTAATAAGAGAAGCATTGATTAGATATTTATACGCAAGCGCCGTACTGTTGCAGACGTAGGCTCCATCTACAGCATCCAATATCTTGTTTTTACTTTTCATCTCCGAAATTCCCTGTTTGTTTTACGGAAAAAACAATGCTTAACTGAACCAGTAACAAAGACCGGTGAGTCGCAAAATAATGTATGGTTGTTTGTAAGTTCAGTAACGAAAACACTGGACTTACGTAATAGAGGCTGTGAAATATTCAAGTTTAATCAAAAGTTAGGCGTTGGGTTAACCGGGTGTTTAATTATGTGTCTCGTTTATTAACGAGATCCCTTTAAGGTCTCATTAAAATTTATTTTCATATAACGAAGCGCAATTAATATTATGTAAATGTATTTTGTGGTGGTCATTAAATGTATGTAATGGTCATTAAATTTAATTTTTGTTATATTGATTCTCATCAGCTGACTTCAGGTAGGTACGGAATTCCCTTTATCTGTAATATGTACAGCAAACGGCATTGATTTTAATTAATTGTAAGTATCCTACGACTTGTAGGATACGTCAACCCATGATTATTAGCTATAGGAAATGACCACTGATTGAGCTTTTAACTCATTTCTTTTTTTATCAAGTTGACTTTCGATGTGAAATCGAAAAATTTGGATTTTGAACTCTGACTTTACGCTCTGACTCTTACAGTAGTTTAGTTTTCCTTTTGAGACATTTATGCTTGAGATATGCTCTGCCTTATTTGTGCTGTGCAGGTCTTTGACAAAATCTGGCACGCACAAATCTATCTATCTCAACCGAGTGGTACAATACTTTTCGGTATTCGAACAAAATATTTACACACATTTTTATTTATTTATTGCTTAAATGGGTGGACGAGCTCACAGCCCACCTGGTGTTAAGTGGTTACTGGAGCCCGTGGACATCTACAACGTAATGCGCCACCCACCTTGAGATATAAGTTCTAAGATCTCAGTACAGTTACAACGGCTGCCCCACCCTTCAAACCGAAACGCATTACTGCTTCACGGCAGAAACAGGCAGGGCGGTGGAACCTACTTGCGCGGACTCACAAGAGGTCCTACCACCAGTAAATTAAAATTCACCACCAAAAAAAAACACATTTCGTGATAGTTAAGAAAATACACGTTCCTTTCAATCTTTTTTTCTATTTTTAACAAAATTACAACTTTTAGGCGTCCGGGATGAGGTCCTATCAGTTCTTCCTCGTCCTGGTATTATGCTGTCAACTGGCTCATGCAGAGATTGACAGAAGAAGATTTTCCAATCCGACCTATTACAATGTTGGAGGTGTTCTTTCTAGCAACGAATCCATAGCTTTCTTCAAGGATACTATCTCGGTACTTTTAAGCCTGTTATAACTTTCGAATAAAAAATTAAAACGACTTCTGTGGAAACAGAACTAGTTACAATAAAAACTAATTGCAATACTAAAAATGTGTTATGAAAAGTTGAAATAATAAGCTTGTGTATCTATTTAAATTTTCATGCTGTACAGTTTTTCCCAAATATATTTCATACTAGCGACCCGCCCTCGCTTCGGAAACATTAAAACACACATGAAACCAAAAAAATAAAATAAAAAAAGGATTAAAAAAATAGCCTATGTTCATCAGGGACAATGTCGCCTTCTAATGGAAAAAGAATTTTTCAAATCGGTCCAGTAGTTTCGGAGCCTATTCGAAACAAACAAACAAACAAATCTTTCCTCTTTATAATATTAGTATAGATCATACAGGATCAATTTTTTTCCACCGGTGGCTTGCAGCTAGAAAACCCATCAATGACTTAAGCTCATTTAGATATTTCAAATGGACGTTTATTTAAATTTGTTCTTGAATATTTATGCGTACAATAAAGTGTACGTACATAATATTTTCAGCACACATAATATTTTTCAACTTCATTTCGATAATTCGTATTTTTTTTTCAGAATCTCAATTTTAAAGATCAATACGTACCGCGTGGCGTCACATATCATGATTATTCAATTCTAATGGACCCTAATCCGATAAAAACTGCCCTCAACGTTTGCAAAGATTTAATTGCTCATAGAGTAAGTATCTATTCGTATATATCTTTTTGAATATTTTTCCCCTACCTATTCGTTGGTAGCCTAAGGGGCTATTCCGGCTACGAGCACACCGGTAGGTGAGCTCACGGGCTTAACCTCAGAGAATATGCTGACACTAGCCCTAGCAAGAGCAGCGCTCCGCAGAATCTACCACCGGATCGAAATTGCGACCCACTGAGAAAATCCGGCTAGAAACTCAGTGGGCTATGTCTATTGGTTAATTCACGAGGACGGTGACCGGTGCTTGAAGACAGTAAAAACATATTTCGGGCGACGGCTGCTTTGCTTTGCCCAGTCCCTTGGGTCGGATATGTAATTAGCAGCGACCACGATAAGTAATATACTTACGTATCGGTGTTTTTTTGAATATTCTCCGGCCGCCGCAATATGCTATAGATTAGCCTAAGATTCATTGTAAAGTTATAATATTTATTTTAAGTTAGGCGGCAAATAAACCAATAAAATTTGTTCTTAAAATTTATTTACTACCAGATGGGTCGCTCTCTTTTTTTTTGTTATTGCTTAGATGGGTGGACGAGCTCACAGCCCCCCTGGTGTTAAGTGGTTACTGGAGCCCATAGACATCCAAACGTAAATGCGCCACCCACTTTGAGATACAAGTTCTAAGGTCTCAAGTATAGTTACAACGGCTGCCGCACCCTTCAAACTCTTTCAGAAACTCACTGCTGGCACCCAATATACTTTTAATAATAACATACTACGTACTGCATTGTAAAAAGTGATACCTTAGAACTCATTCATGTCTTAAGGTGGGTGGTGGCATTTACTTTACAAATGTCTATGGACTCCGGTATCCACTTAACATCAGGTGGGCCGTGAGCTCTTTCACCCATCTAAGCAATAAAAAAAGTCTTCATGATGTCCTACAATGTTGTCTAAGTATGGTAACTACTTTAATTTTATTTTACAGGTTTACGCAGTAGTGGTTTCCCATCCGCTAACTGGAGATTTATCACCAGCTGCTGTTTCATATACCAGCGGGTTTTACCACATACCGGTCATAGGGATATCATCGCGCGACTCAGCGTTCTCCGACAAAAATATCCACGTTTCATTCCTGCGCACTGTGCCACCGTATTCGCATCAGGCTGACGTATGGGTTGATGTCCTCAAGCACTTTAACTACATGAAAGTTATTGTCATTCATAGCTCGGATACCGACGGCAGAGCTATTTTGGGCAGGTAAGTTATCGAAAAAACGATAAGGTAATTTATTGCTTTACTTATCTTATTTTACAAATTATTAACCTTTTTTTTTATTGCCCTTGTAGGCAGACGAGCATACGGCCCACCTGATGGTGAGTGGTTACCGTTGCCCATGGACTTCAGTAATGCCAGGGGCAGAGCCAAGCCGCTGCCTACCGCTTAATACTCTCCACAAGCCTCTTTTAAAGAAGGACATGTTATAGCGCTCGGGAAAACCGTGGAGGGGAGCTCATTCCATAGTGGCAAAAAAGACCTCTGGAAACGCACTGTCGATGAACGCAGCGGTTCCAGATTATATGAATGAACTCTGCTCCGTTGGCGGGAGGTACGATGATAAAAAGGAGATAAGGATATCATCTCAAACAATTCCTCAGAGCACTCCCCATGGAGCATACGGCACAAAATACAGAGGGAACCGAAGTCCCTCCGCAGACTCAGAGGTTCCAAACGAACCTTTATCCACACCTATTCGCGAACCCATTCCTACCGTACTATACATTAATTAATGCTCAGGTTCCAGACAACATCTCAAAGCATAGACGAGGACGTCGATCGTAAAGTCGTAGTCGAACTGGTTATCGAATTCGAGCCTGGCCTAGATTCTTTCACAGAGAGCCTTATGGACGTAAAAAGTGCCCAAGCCAGAGTATTTCTCATGTATGCAAGGTAATAAAGAAACAAAAACGACATTCGTTGTTATAGAATTTTACTAAAGAAGATAATTATTGCGTTTTTGCAGTAAAACTGATGCTGAAATAATATTCCGTGATGCCACATACCTCAATATGACTACTGTTGGATACGTTTGGATGGTTACAGAGCAAGCGTTGGACGCTGCCAATGCACCGGAAGGCTTATTAGGATTGCGTCTTGTGAACGCAACCAATGAACACGCACACATTCAGGACTCGATGTAAGTGGGAAATAAATAAATGTTAAACTGAAAAAAAAAAAGTTACAAAATCTAAATCATTTTTTATCCTGTTGATCTCTTCAGGGTATTAGTTCTTGATAGGTGCGCAAATTTCCCAGTTAATTGAGCGTCTTGGACTTTATGAAAATAATGTTGAACACACCTACACGTTATTATGTAGGTACCTACATAAATACATACCTACAGATCAGGCTGATAAAAACGTGTTAAAATAAATAAATATTAATGAGAAGGATGTGCTTGTAATTATTTTTAAATTAATCTTTGCACAGATACGTTTTGGCGTCAGCTATTCGCGACATGAACACTTCAGAAGAGATCCACGCGCCGCCGTCGGATTGCGACAATTCTGGATCCATTTGGACAACGGGAAGGTTATTGTTTGATTACATAAGGAAGCAAAGTTTAGAGAATGGAGCGACTGGACACGTAGCGTTCGATGATCACGGAGATCGTGTCCATGCGGAATATGACATGGTGAACGTTAGGGCACAAGGCGAGCACGTCGCGGTGGGAAAGTACTTCTATTCGAAGGTAAAACTGCAAATACCAATCAAAGCTGACTTTCAGTGTAGTTTTATTTATTACTACTAGTCCATCATGATATTATATTGTAGGAAACACAAAAAATGCGTCTGGAATTGAAGGAACATGAGATAATATGGATGGGTCGAAGTACTTCCAAACCTGAGGGCTTTATGATACCTACACATTTAAAGGTATTACTTGTTCTTAGGCATAATTTGTAAATATTATGGTTATGTTTTTAAATCGTTGATGAATTAAATTTGAAGGTTTTAACAATTGAAGAAAAACCTTTTGTTTATACTCGACGTATTGACGACGGTAGCGAATGTTATCCGGAAGAAATACCTTGTCCTCACTACAATGCTAGCGACGAAACAGGTACGGTATTATTTTTATTCTATCGATCATACTTAAGTTGATATTGAAAGTTCTTTACATTTTGAACAAGATGATTTGTTTATTTGTAGGTCAACTTTATTGCTGCAAAGGATTTTGTATGGACCTCTTGAAATATCTTTCAAAGGCTATTAACTTTACGTATTCGGTGGCTCTTTCGCCGGACGGGCAATTTGGTAATTACATAATACGTAATTTATCCGTTCCTGGATCTAAGAAAGAATGGACTGGCCTTATCGGTAACAAAATTTATTATAGTTTCAATAAAGTTACTCTCATATACTCTTCATCATAATTGTTCAAATCGTTTCTTTTTGTTTTTTGTGTATAATTTTAGCTGAGCTAGTGTACGAACGGGCGGATATGATTGTCGCACCTCTAACCATCAATCCCGAAAGGGCAGAGTTCATCGAGTTCAGTAAGCCTTTTAAGTATCAAGGAATAACAATTCTTGAAAAAAAGGTAAAATGTTTCGTACCATAATTAGTGTATAAATAAACGACATGACAATTTTCTTTGATTTGAAGTTTTAGAATAGATGAAAGTATTTTAAGTTTTAAAACAGTAATGCCTTGAGTTAAATTTTAATTTTAACGATTTGTAACGTTAATTTTCAGCCTTCTCGATCGTCGACCTTAGTGTCGTTCTTACAACCATTTTCTAACACTCTCTGGATTTTGGTTATGGTGTCTGTACACGTTGTTGCTCTCGTGCTATATCTTTTGGACCGATTTTCTCCTTTCGGAAGATTTAAGCTCGCAAATATCGATGGAACCGAAGAAGATGCATTAAATCTATCGAGTGCTATTTGGTTTGCTTGGGGCGTTCTGTTGAATAGCGGAATTGGCGAAGGTACTAGTTACTTTTAAATACAGGATACGTGTTGTTTTTTCAATAAATAATAGGGCTTTTTTTCTTCAGGCACACCGCGAAGCTTTTCAGCTCGAGTACTGGGTATGGTCTGGGCAGGCTTTGCAATGATCATTGTTGCTTCTTATACTGCTAATTTAGCCGCGTTCCTTGTACTTGAACGACCTAAAACAAAACTTACTGGAATCAACGATGCTAGAGTACGTACCTACGTTTTATTTCTTGTAATATTTCATCAAGAATTCTTACTTAAATACCTGAATTTCACAGTTACGAAACACAATGGAAAATTTAACTTGTGCGACTGTGAAAGGCTCGGCGGTGGACATGTACTTTAGAAGACAGGTGGAACTTTCAAATATGTATCGAACCATGGAGGCAAATAATTACGACAGCGCAGAGCAAGCTATTCAAGATGTGAAAGATGGGTAAATAATAATGTTATTTTGAGCGAATTCATTGATGTTTTCGAGAAGAAGTTATTTGAAGCTTATAAAATTATAACTTCAGAAAGTTAATGGCCTTCATTTGGGATTCCTCGCGTCTGGAATTTGAAGCAGCTCAAGACTGTGAGTTGGTGACAGCAGGAGAATTATTTGGAAGATCAGGCTATGGCGTCGGATTACAGAAAGGATCACCTTGGGCAGACTTAGTAACGCTTGCAATATTGGATTTCCACGAGAGTACGTTGTGAGATAGAACTTAAATATAATCTTATAGTCAATGTAAATCAGAAGCTTCTGTAATTTTAAGTTCATTTGCAGGTGGTATAATGGAGTCACTCGATAATCAATGGATTCTGCGAAATAATATGTTGAATTGCGAAGAAAATGAAAAAACACCAAACACTTTAGGTTTGAAAAACATGGCTGGTGTTTTCATATTGGTGTTGGCTGGTATAATAGGGGGTATTGTACTTATCGTCATCGAGGTTGTATATAAACGACATCAGATAAGAAAACAGAAGAGATTGGAAATAGCGAGACATGCAGCCGACAGGTGGCGCGGAGCCGTTGAGGTAAACAGAGCAAAAACTTCGGCCATGGATGTGGACCACTACGACAGCCATAAAGAACAAATTGAAAGCAAAATATAAAATTCTAGCACCCCTTCCACGACGACATTTATTTAAAAATATGGGTCAGGGACGGCGAACCATTAAAAGCATACAAACGTAACGTAATAATGAAGACATAAGTGCCTGTTGCACTTTAATATCATACTCAAAGTTCGCCATCCCCGATGCAGCTTAAAGCGTTGTTAATGACCAATACAATATATTCTTATACCTTTAAAATTATATAATAAACTCGTTTCATATTGAACTAGATTCGTAATTTTACTCACAATATGCCCCCGCTGCTTTGCAAGAATGTTCACCATCGAAAACGGTAATTGAATAATGTCGTAAGTAGACACATGCATGGTTTCGTATTTTAGTGCAATTTCTTAAGCATTTAATTATTTGTATACGATTTTTTTCAATGTTTCAGAAACGTAAGTCACTTCGGGCTGCAATAATGCCAGCGCAGAGAAGAATCAAGTCGAATGGTGTGAAAGAAGCCGGGAGTATTAGTTTGGTCGTCGACAGAGGAGCGAGACGACGTGACGAGCCTCGAGTACCGAGATATCTTCCGGCTTATACTCCGGATGTCTCGCACCTAGTAGTTTAGAATGAGAAAGTGAACAAGCGAGATAATGTAAGAGCGTTTTCCACGAAGCAGTGTGCTGAGTGCGAGTTTCTTAACGTTCTCGATAGCGTAAAAGTTAAGCCAAATTCTGTATGCAGTTGGAACAGCGCCCCTAGCGGCAAACGAACGTAAACGATCCCATTCCATACAAAAATGAGCTAACCTTTACGCTATCGAAAACGTTAAAAAACTCGCACTAAGCACACCGGTCGACAACGATCAATTCGTGATTACCTACTTGTGTATTGTGATTTTGTCGTATCAAAAAAAAAACATTACTCGAATTTCTTCCAAAAGTATCGACGCAAATGGTCGTGGTTGTTATCCATTAGCACGTTGCATAAAAAACAAAAAGTACTGGTGGTAGGTACTTACTGGTGGTAGGACCTCTTGTGAGTCTGCACGGGTAGGTACCACTACCCTGCCTATTTCTGCCGTGAAGCAGTAATGCGTTTCGGTTTGAAGGGTGGGGCAGCCGTTGTAACTATAATTGAGACCTTAGAACTTATATCTCAAGGTGGGTGGCGCATTTACGTTGTAGATGTCTATGGGCTCCAGTAACCACTTAACGCCAGGTGGGCTGTGAGCTCGTCCACTCATCTAAGCAATAAAAAAAAAAAAAAAAACGTCATTTAGTCCTAATACGAAGTGATTATTTTACTGGTGGTAGGACGATTGGGGGCCATGCGGGCCTGTTTTAGCTTTGACGTTCGAAGTGTGTGACATTTCAAATACAGGCTGTTGTAGTGGCTCTATCCTGTGGTAACCGCCAACTGGTCCGACGGTTTGTCACTGAGTATAGTAATCGGCACGAGTCGTGAGCCCTCGACAAAAGAGTGGGGCCGTCTGCGCATCGTACAGTTAGGGAAAAGTTAAATGGATCACTAGTGTATTAATTTTTCATAATTAAATTAACTTTTTTTTTTATTACTTAGATGGGTGGACGAGCTCACAGTCCACCTGGTGTTAGTGGTTACTGGAGCCCATAGACCCACCTTGTTCGTTCGATTTGGGATTTAAAAATGTATAGGCATTTTATAGTAGATTTGGCCGGGGCTTCCCTAATACTATAGTCATAAATAACCGACTTCCAAAAGGTTAGTGTTTACCGAAAATTTGCTTTTCCCTTATGGTGACGGTTATGGAACGAATACACGAATATATATGTTTAAGCTTTAGATTTTAGAAGATTTTCGATACATTCTATGGTGCCAGGGAAATCGTTTGAATAATATACCTAAACCTATTTCTAATTAATAAGCTTATAAGAGAATCTTACAGCTACTTTAGACAAGAACTATGGCACTTATAAGCAATTTCTTAAGTTATCTTTTTATACGAGTATTGATCAAGGTCCAAGACAAAAACCCAACTTTTACTAAAATGTTTCAAATAACTACTTGTGGTACTAAATGTACATTTCTGAGGTACAAATGAGGTTGATAAAAAATGTGCGGTTAATAAACATAGATAATACACTTAATGTTTAAGTTAATAAAATTGGACGAAAGTGTAGTTTGCTGCAGTGATGCGCGTGCACGACACCGGAAACCAATCACAAATGACGGCATGTGACGCGACGCGGGAAGATCCAATCACGTACCTAACCGAAATGGCCGGCGCCACACAGACCCAAAAATGCACTTCTGCACATGTGAAGGTCACTCGTGCCAATTGCTATACCTAACAGTAAAATTCAATTATTAAACTATAAAAATTAGTCACAATCAGACGCAACAATGTAGAACAGTGATACCCACTACTTCATAATGTGGATATTTGGATACTGGATAATTGCGCACTGTGGCATTGCTCTGTCCTTGTCATAAATTAACGTTTTAATTTTAGGTAGTAAATAATTTATAGAAATGTTTAATGTAAGTGTATGTTGTGATACTTCTATTAGCACTCACATTACGTATTAAGTCTATCCCCAAGACAAGTGTCAAGTATGGGCCTCAAAAATTCTTATGTAATCTCACCGAAGGTGATACATGTCTGAGTTTGTAGTTAATTTTTAAGATAAATACCGTTCATTGCGCTGTGATTAGATTATAGTAGTATTCAACGATTTTTTAATTAATTTTATGTACCAAACTACGTATTTTTATGGTTTATTTTTCTACAATGTATTATACGTTCGTAAGAAATATATTTGTTTTTTCATGATTTCCGTAGTCTAAATGTGAAATGTGAGAGACTTAGATTAAGAACATGTAATTATTTTAATTCCATTAAAACGATTGCAGAAAAATATGGACTTTTGATGGTTAACAATCTTTAAGGAATGTTTATGGTGTTATAAATGAAACAACATTTCAACACATATTTATATTTACATAGAATTTGTAACAGTGCTATGCGGGAATAAAATTTTTAATTTCATATGAGCTAACAGTGCTCTATGGATTAATTTCAGCCAAAAGCAAGTCGAATCGTTACACTGCCAAGAACATTAAGCACAGCAGGCTTGGATTGTTTCACTGTGAGACTGAAACAAGACTCCACATTACGCCCAGCCAAATCTTTGCTTCGATTTGAGTGAACATAACATGGGATGCTGCAGTCCGCTTCCAATCTCACAGACAACAATCACTGCCTACTAAAGATAAAGATACATTTACACCGATATTTCGAAACATTAATGGAAGATTTAAAATCATATTATTATACGTAGAACAGAAAAAAAGATCTACCGTTGCTAAGCCAAATCGTGGACGTGCTTTAATATACGAACGACGAAGGTGCCAATACGTTAATTACTGTAACGAATAACGATTTGAATTTTAGACTTATAACCCGACTTAGTTAACTGTGGTAACATCTTAATTAAACCGTTTCCAAATCCTATAAACTATATTATCTAAATTACATTGAACGTTCCATTATTTGAATGAATTGCACCAATAAAATACTTATGAATAAATTGTTTTTATAGGCGAAACTAACGTACAGTTAAAAGTAGAATGGGCACATCGGAATGCTCAGGAATCAGAAATATTCAGGGTCACACGATTACACATTTCATGAAGGGTCAACGGGAACATACATCAGTAAACATTCTAACAGGTAAAATTGTACGCTTCATCATAACGATATAATTAATTAGGCAAAGGAAGAAAAGAAAACACTTATTTCAACATTATCATAGTTCTACATAAATACGAATTTTTCTTTTTTTTAAAATAAATTGTTAGTAACAACAAACTTTGTTCGTGTTCACCGTTGAATTAATCGGTGAATTTACGGTTAGGGTTGCGTCCGAAGAGGGCGTTACGTATCTCCGGCAGCAGCTGCTGGGCGATCAGCTCCAAGCGAGACTCCAGAGTGTTGCTGATCTGTAAAATACTCTTTGGCTTAGTAGGGCACCGGCATCTACTGATAAGCTGTTATCGGGGCTCGCCCACCTTGAAACGTCCTCGAATTCCTTGAACCAATTAAAATTCCTTACAAACCTACAATACGTGACATACGACTGGTGGTAGGACTTCTTGTGAGTCCGCGCGGGTGGGTACCACCACTCTACCTATTTCTGCCGTGAAGCAGTAATGCGATTCGGTTTGAAGGGTGGGGCAGCCGTTGTAACTAAACTTGAGATCTTAGAACTTATATCCCAAGGTGGGTGACGCATTTACGTTGTGGATGTCCATGGGCTCCAGTAACCACTTAACACCAGGTGGGATGTGAGCTCGTCCACCCAACTAAACAATATATAAAAAAGTGCGTGCGTACAAAGTACACAATATGTCAGAAGTGAAACTTCTTTGGCGAACTAATTTATAAGTCTTGCTTATATTTATACAAATCTAAAACTTTAGATTTCCGAGACTTAGAGGAAGGGAAAAAGGAAGATATGTTAGGAATTTAATTGTCATTAAAGTATTAAGTGTTGAAAATTAATATAAAATATAAAGTTTTTTTTTTTAATTTATGTCTTCTATATTTACATTATTCGACGCGATTTTTATTGGTATTGTTGTGACTAAAGCATTATGATACGTAAAATATGCAATATAAGTTCGTGTTTCCACATTATCTAAATATCTTGTAAAAATAGCATCTATTGTCGTTCCTGAATTTGTAGTTGGTGTGTTTGGATTATTATTTAGCTGTAGACTAAATTTTTCTTCTAGAAAGTTAATTAATGATTTGGAATTATCAACTGCAAAATTAATTTTAAAGTCACCACCCAAAACTGACTAATTTAATTTCATGCTATTTGATTAATGTTCCAAATTCTTTTCATTTCATTTCAATTCCTATTAACATTTTTCACAAAAAAATTATAAAATATTAGGCTGTATGGTATGATACATTTGCCTTTCCAATTGGAAAAATACAACAACTACTACTACTGACATTTGACAAGTACTTAATTTCAATAGTAGTTTGATTTACTGGCGCCGTTTCTCATGTTTCCGATTGAGTTAAATATGACACTTCCGTTGCATACCTGTGTGACGTTACATCTGTAAAATTTTTACCCTCATGCGCCTAAAGAAGTTTCACTTCCAAAAACGATTTGCAGACTTAAGCAAGTCGACTTTAAAAGCATGTGCAGGCTCTGTGTGTCAAAAATCCAGTCATCATAAAATAACTTTTCCACTTCACCTGTTTCCACTGTCTGCTGTTTTTATTTGAACAAAAATTGGAAATTCGATTTCATGTGCTAAGCTTTTCTTGGTTTTAGACGTAATTATATTTTATATTCTTAGATCTACCAAGCTACGTAGTTGCCAATAAAGAAACGGAACTTACCTTGATACGTCCCCTGGCTGCAACCAGCTCGATACCACCACAGGTGTCGGGCGACAAAAAGTTCTCAGTGTCGACTTTCAACACAACATCCTTCTTGATCTTATTCTTGTAGTCTTGTTGAGCTTTTCCGAGCAAGGACTCCACCAGAGCCTTGTCGGTTTGACGGACGCGGATGGTGACAGTGGGTTCCATGAGCTATAACAAAACAAGTACAACGATTTTTCTAATTTATAAGTGAATGATGGAAGTAAAATATCTTAGAATTGTATTTGCAAGTCTAACTCCAGTGAGACCATAACAATTTTTTAGATCTATGTCTTGTCTTGTAAATTGTCGTTTTATAAAATTTTATCTAAGAGTTTTAGTCTTTGTGGTCATTTTTATTATTACTTTATGACAAAGGCAAAATCCATTAAAATACATTGTTGTATTGATAGTAATTTGTTTAATTTTATATGGTATCCCTTTCACAATGCTCTATGGATTAATTATTATATATCTATTGTATTGTCTATTCCCATCTGTGAACTTCAAACCGCTACACCTCATGTAGTGTTATTCTAACTAACGAGTTAGTATTATTGCTTATCAATAAATTTGTGTTCCAGATCAACCTCATACAGTTTATTTTACTGCCAAAATGAATAAATTTATACCTGGAAGAGAGCCTGCACAATAAGTGTGACCAGCAGCTCTGAGTACAGTTTGGTGTCCTTTGGCACTTCAGCCAGGCGCTTGCGAGCTTCATCAAGTACATTACGTACGTGATCTTCACGCACTTTCAGTACCTTCAGACGAGCTTGGTTCAGCATGTTCGAAGATTGGCTGAAATAATTTTACTGTTACTTACTGTTAATTACTGTTACTGACCATTTAAAATGGTACAAGTATAATAAATATAATATGTATATGATGAGTTATATGTTTAATATCGCAGTAAATTATGATTTTTATATTCAACATCACAAAATGCATTGCAGTACTTAGATTGTTTCGATTCTAGATTATCTAACTCATATTAATATTATGACTTAGTTCATTAATTTTTTGTTTCTCAAATGTATCATTTGAGTCGTCTATTATCAAAGGTGGCAATCTGTACATTTGGACAAAAAAAATTTATTGATATGTCAATACAGATTTATTTGAATATAATCGTCTCCTTCAAAGAATACGGTTCAAAATCTGCATTAAATAAAGGTTAATAGTTAACCTGTTATTTATCTAAGATGTCGTTCTGAAGAGTTTTGTGACTGCCAATGGAATACAAAGTCAATAATTCGTTTTTCTGATTTACCAATCATTGTCCAAAAGTCAGATTGCCACCTTTGATAATAGTCGACTCATTTGTTGTTTTTTCATATCATTCAAATGTGAAATACCTACTGAGTGAATAGCTTCTGCTTTTTTATTGTGCCTTTTTTATTTATAATTCATCGTTTTAGATAAAAATAACTTAGAAAGTAATCAATCATCTTCACTAACCTAAATAATCACATACTTTATGTTTCAGTAAATAAATAAAGAAAAAATATCAATAGAAACATGATTTTGGTTTTTAATAATTTGCTATTTTTTCCAATTTTAATTTTGTTTCTTTGATTTTACTCATTATTATCATAGACCAATTTTTAGAACATTAAATTTTAAGGCAAAAATTGCTATGTTAAAAGTGTTTCTAAGATTTTCTTATCAGAACTATCTATCAAGATAGTGAGTTTGTGTAATGACCTTATCATCCATTCAGTGATATAAATACTATTAAGTACATTGCATGGATTTTTAACCTAAAAAGAAATTATATCTGCCCATTTCAATTTTTTTAAAACAAATATTCTGAACTCTACTGTAGATTATTTTGTATTATAATGAAATCTTCATTTATAATGAAGTCATTCCCAGAACAAGAATGTCAAAGTGTTAGTGTTCTGAAAAGATGTCATGTTTATCTAAATAATTGAATCGTCTATTATCAAAGGTGGCAATCTGTGCATTTGGACAAAAAATTTTTATTGATATGTCAATACAGATTGATTTGAATATAATCGTCTCCTTCAAAGAATACGGTTCAAAACCTGCATTAAATAAAGGTTAATAGTTAGCCTGTTATTTATCTAAGATGTCGTTCCGAAGACTTTTGTGACTGCCAATGGAATACAAAGTCAATAATTAGTTTTTCTGATTTACCAATCATTGTCCAAAAGTCAGATTGCCGGCTTTGATAATAGTCGACTCAATTATATTTTATTATTCCATCCCATTTATCACTTTTATAATCAATTACATACAACCAATGTAAAACTTGAATGTGAAGTTTTTCACTAAATGTGGTTGTCTAAATTTTATAACTACTAGTTATATTAGATAGAATTAATTGAATTTTTTTGATCTTGTCATTTATGATTTTATTGAAATGTAATTGCATCACAATATTTTATGTTTTTAAAGTGTTGCTTCTTTTTTACTGTTTAAGGCTCTGCACGATCACCCATGTCAATCAAAAATGTCATTTACATTATATTATTATGTATTAGTTACTCTATAAAAAGTCACATTAAGTCTCATTATTGTTTCATTTTTACTATTCGTAATTTCTAATTTTTTAGATTATTTGATAATTCTATTCTGTTTGAAATGTTGTGACTTTTCTATTGTAACACCTAATACATATTGAATGTTCAATTTGAGAAATCGTAATAGTTGTAATCAATACTGCTTGGTCACATGATTGTTCGTTCGTATGTTCTTTGAGTATGCAGAAGGTTATGTGTTAGTTTTACAGAAACCTACATCTTCTTCTGAAGTTCAACCTGCTTCTCCTTCTTTTCATAGTATTCCATAATCTTGAGACGTTGCTGCTGGACAAGACGGCCCTTTTCGATGTTGAACTCCTCCTCGGCCTTCGCATCGATTTCTTCGGCCTTTTCGTTGGCCTCTTGTTCGATGAAGGCCATCATGTGCTTGATCTGTATTGAAAAATATAAACATTCTGATCAAAAATACGGAGTATAATGCACAAAAACATGAAGTCCAGTCGAGGCAGTCTTATGAGTTGTCGAAATTACAATGGCATATCCCGATCAATGATCGTGACATATAATCCTTAAAATACTTGATTTTATAGATAAATCAGTTTTGTTTATAACAAATACCTGTTTCTGAACATCTGCATCGCTGAGCGCCATGGCTGCTGCTTATTTTTAACACCACTAACACGAAAAACGGCCGATATAGAGCCAGAAAATTAATGACTGGCTCGGGGAAAGAAGTCTACGCCTATCAGACGTGCTTCTTTATTGAACAATCATATGATCTTAGTGTTGCCAAAAAGTATTGATTAGACATAGACAATTTTTTCTGAAATATTTAGAATATGAATCAGTATATACATCTCGATCCTTCTTTGCTCGATGTCGGTAAGTGAAAAGGATATACCGTACAATGGGGTAAATAGGGACAAAATCGACCTTCAGATTGAATTTTAAAATAGTTCCAATTAAATAGTCACTGCTCAACCAAAGAAATAAGTTGAGTCTTGAACGTACCTAGATGATAAAAACCGTTACATTATTTTAATTATTCATTTTAAAGAAATAATCGGTAAAATAATGGCCGTCCCAATTTACCCAGCGTCCGGGGTAAATTGACACGGTTAAGGGTTAAATTGGGATATTTGTAAGGGTTGTCAACTCGCAGTACTGCGATATATAGGTAGGTGCCATATAATTATTTATATGGACCGAAATGATGAATACAATCCATAATTTAAGCACAATACACAACATAGTGTAAATTAAGCTGGTTTCTATTCCGAAGCGATGTGACGTGAATGATAATCAACAATACAATGATCAAAAAAAGTATGTGCATGTTATATTTTAGAAAATTATTATTTAATTTCCTTAAAAATCACAACTCTGAAACAAAATCATAAAATAGAATAAAAAATAGAAAACAAAAGGACTGGAAATGCA